CGAACAACGTGACATTGAGGACGGCGGAAAACGCGCCGCCGCGGAAGCTGTTGAGCAGCGCCTCGCTGTACGAACGATGGCGGCGCTCTCCTCCATCAAGGTGTGCCTTCGTTGGCCATCAGTGTAAATTGAATGGGAATTATTATAAAGATTGCATGCTGTACTTTATTTGACTATGTTGAACAGTACTTTTGTATATTAATTTAGATTAAAATACTTCCGGATAGCATAGGTCTGGTGGGTGATATCTTGACGAAAAAGTCCTAAGTATTATGATAGGGATTTTTGGGGCTGAACTTATGTTTGGACTTATTGAGACCCCAATAAAACCAACGGGTGGGAGTATAAGTCCAAAATTGGTCCTATCTAAGGGTTATCCGTATAAATCAGACCTTTAAGTCTGACGAGTGGAGATGCTCTAACTTCTTTATTACTGAAGCAATTTCAACGCCTCTTTCGAATAATATTTCTTCAGACTACACTTGAAGTGCGTTGCATTGACGTGATAAATAGCCAGGGTCACCGTCGCCTTCTAAATTTGCGCGGAAGATGTCGATGGAAATCAACACCCAAAATGTGTTAGTAGGTGCTAGTATCTACTAAAAAATCTGATTCGGCTTCACTGATTGGCTATAATTACCATTAACACATCGTTTTATTGGATGGCCAAGGTTCATGAATTCATCAAGCGACTTGCCCAAGGCATGAACTTCTCCATCGATCGACACACATCGTTCTCCACCATCTACTCCGCACAACACAACATATAATCCTTCATTAAAGCCCTTGTGTGTTATACGTCTTATTTGAGTGAAGTAAGTGAACGTTTTAATGACAAAAGAAGCCTCAGTAGCTGAAAGTCCGTGCCATTTTGTCAATATTTCATGCACTTTTTGCCCAAAATTGGCGTAAATCAGTTCAAATTGAATATAAGATCATGATCTTTCTACGACTATTTTCGAAACTGTCAAATTCCCAATATTTCATATTTATATTACAGTTTGTATGACCCTGGTATCATCCCAAAAGGCCCCTACAATATTAATAATTAGTAATAGTAAGTAGTACTACCTGGACAGTCGTGCAGGAAGGTTGGTTGGAGCCCATCATGATTACTTAAGTCTACCGGATGGGGTCCCCGGTATGTACCCCACGACGATACTATTAAATACTACTACGGTTTCTTCTTCTCGGGGGCAAAGCAAGGGAACGGTCGCAAGTTGGGCAGGGCGTTCATTTTGGCCATGGCTTCCATAAACAGCTTGTTGGGGGTGAGCCAGTCGTCGAGGAGGAGCCCTTCGGACGTGAACGCCTTGCGTCCGGCGCTGGGAAAGTCGTAGGCCGACTCGGGGTTGATGCACCACATGTACCCCCCCGAGTACCCGTCGAGCATCATCTCCTGGATCGTGAAGTCCACCGTGCGTCGAATGGTATACTGCGGGTGCTCGTCCTTGGTGTACAGCCCGCCAAACTCGCCCACGACGATCGCGTACTTGCGCTTCTCGCGAAGGTACCCAAACATGTGCTCCATCGTGATGTGGATGTTGGTTTTGAGCGTGTCGTCCGGCAGTTCCGTGTACGACGCATACCCTTGTCCGTCCGCGGCGCGCACGACGTTATCATAAAAGTACGGCTGCGGGGCCACGGCCGTCGAGTAGTAGTGCGGCGACCACACGAGCTTGTCTTGGGTTTTGAGGGTCACGGGCACCGTGTCGGCATCTTGCAGCCGTCCACCCCACCAGTCAAAGTACCTACAACCACATGGGATGTAGTAGATATATCGATTACGACGACGACTATGTAAATATCGATAGTCGTACGTGATCTTCCCGACCGTGTGCCCCATGGACGCACTGCCTTCGACAAACGCGAGCCAGTTCTTGCAGCCAGCATGCATGCGATCGCCAATCAACTTGGCGCCGGCCACCCAATCGCACTTGGCACTGGCCTTGTCCGACGGCCCCCACCCGCAGTCGTTGGGCTCGTTCTTCAAATCAATGCCAATCACGTTCCAGTACTCGTCCGAGCACAGCTCCGACGTGAGCATGTCAATGGCTTTCAAAAAGTCGTCTTCCGATACATCTGCGTTGAACCACGACCCCGTCGCCCCCTTGGTCGTGAGGGTGTGCATGGACAGCAGCACCGTGATGTCGCGGTACGCCAGCGCTTTCAACACCGACTTGAGCAGCTCCATGTACCCCTTGATGTTGATGGCGCGGTTCGTGTCCAGATTGATAAGTCGCTTGTCGGGCGCCGTGTTTTTCAGAATGGACTGGGCGCACAACGGCAGTCGGATGCTGTTAAACTTGTGGCGATGGAGGAACGCCGCCACTTCGTACACGGTCGTGCCGTTCTGGTCGTTTTCCCACAGCCCAAATGGAATCGCGTGGCCGCTACGAACGAACGATGTGTTGTACCGTGTTTTATATGTCGAAATAGACAACATGCCAACTATGATTTGTCAATACGGATATGTGAAAGTAGCGTACGTTTCCATGCCAAACCAATTCGTGCCTTTGATCGCCACGGTGACTTCGGTGCCGTTGGCCGCCACGGCGTACACGCGGCCGTTCTTGCTTTGGTAATCTGGCAATTGGCATTCTACAAGAGGGACCCACTATTAATCTCGAACGGACTATGTCTGTGACGATATATGCATATATGGTGAAAACGCATTGTACGTACTTCGTCCCGTCGAGTCGTACGTCATGGGGTTGCCGACTTTGCCGTCAGCGTCCACCAAAACACTGTCGTCCACGAGGCCGTCTTGGATCGCGCGGCGCCGCTGCTCGCGGACCAGGACATCCTGACGGCGCTGCAACGACGCGTTGTACGACTGCCGCGCGCCGAGGGAGATCGCGACGACAGCTGTGGCCACGACCACGCCCAGGAGAAGCATCCCAGGCCACCGCCGAAGCTGCCCCCTGTAGTCTCGCTGGGCCTCGGGCCGCTCGAGGGTCGCAATATTGACCAGCTTCATCTTTTCTTTCGACGGGTTCAATGTGTCCATGTCTTCGGTGGATGTCGATCCGTCGTCGTGCATGCTGAACTGATGGTGGTGCACGTACGTGCTTTGTCGTCCGCTGAACCGAGACGGCGACGACGGCATCGGGTTGAACACGTTGCTCGGCCGCGCCATGAGGACCGACCCGCGCTGGGATTCCCGCGGCAGCGATGCGCGGCGAAACGCGTCCGGTTGAGTGATACTTCCCGAGCGTTCCGATTGCGTCAAGCTGTCGTCTCGATCCTCGTCAGTCCTTCCCGAGCGAAAGATCGTCACTTCGTCGTCCTGGGGAGCGCCGTGCTGGTGCATATTGCTGCTGGCACGAGTGGAATTGAGATGGCGAGGGGGTGAAGGAGATTGTGATGCTGATGGCATCACACGTGACACACTCGTCGATGCCCATTCAAGTGACCGGAAATATACAATTGCTAATATTTCAGCCAATCAAACGCTCGTATAGCAGTCATTAGTGTCACTGGAATCGACAATGCCGTTCTTTGAGCCTAGAAAAAGGCCGCCAGAGCCAGGACGGTGAGATGTGGCTACCGGTACCTTGCTTCCAGTGCTTTCAGGTCAGCAACACACAAAAGCCCCAGGCTTTAGATCGCTCAGCACGAGTCAGGTATGTAAAGCGACTTGGGGGTTTGACAAGCATTAACTGTAAGTTCATTTCAAAGTGGTTCTGAGACATGCGATCACGATGGCGTGGTTTCGTGACAAATACGAGCTGACCAATCAGATGCGCTTAGTGAGATACGAATTGCACTTGAAATTTGTATGAGCTTCTTGCCAATCAAGGCGTGGGGAACGTACACTGGTACTTACTTACCTCAAAGTAGTACTATTAGTACTACTACCTATCGGTACAGTACAGTATTCTACTATTTGAATTGCTAGTACTACTAGTACGGAGCTGTGAAATGTGGAAGTTTCATAGTACTACTACCGTAGTACTCCAAGTATCCAACTATAAGTCGCACCTTTCATTAAAGTTACCGACCTGCTTACTGTCAACAACCGCAACCTGCCAAGCGTCATGCAAGTCCAAGTGCAGGACGATGTGTTGCCGGCGCAAGTGGAGCAGAGCCCGTTGTCGGCATACTCCCATGTGGAGGAAGGATCACTAGGTGAGGACGATCGTGACCAGCAGCTTCTTGAATCGATTCGACATCCATGGTACTGGCGGTTGTTCCACATTGCCGAAGGCACGGCAACCATTGTCGACACTGACGGACGCAAGACTCGCCGGGCTCGTAGCTCCGCCAACTCCCTCGAACATCCCATCGTCGCCAGTTTGGTGCTTCAGTTTCCTTGGATTGGACTGTCGCTGTTGTACTTTTCCGTGTTTGAACTCATGACGTCGTACTTGACGTCGAGGGGTGTGCACTACTTTGTACCTCGGTACATGCGTGCGTTCCTCACATTCGCGCTTGCCCCCCTCGTCGGCGCCGCGTCCGACCGATGCACGGCGAAAGCCGGTCGCCGCAACCACTTTGTACGTCCACACTGTCCCCCTTTCCCATGAAGACACATGCTGTGTAGTTGATGCTCGCCACACTCAAGTTGGTGATTTCCGTCATGTTTCTCGGAGGTTCATTGTCCATCTTTGGCGACCACCTGTTTCTCTTGTCCATCAACATTGCCGTGATCATCTGGGGCACCGTGTCCATGGAGGTAGGTAGGTACCTAGTCTACAGTACTACGTACCACCCCTTCACTTTTTCCAACTAAGTCCAACTCAAACATGCGGCTATGTTGTAGGTAGCAGTCCGAGCACGGGTGTTTGACGAGATCCCCAAGGAATACCAGGTACTCGAACCCCTTGTAATGCACAGCAAGCATCACGTTGGTAGGTGCATGCCCATGCATGTGGATCCATCTGGCACAGCGTGGGAGTAGCGCTTGGGATGGTGCTGGTCGGTGGCGGGGCCAAGGTCGTGTACGGCGACCAAATCACCGAGGACGTGATGCTCTTCACGTGTGGCATCGTCGTCACCGCGATCCTCGTGACCGTCGGCGTGTCCATGTGTACGCTATCCCCATCCAAATGTGCTGTCTCTAGTATATCCCTCCCTATGTAGACTTGAAACCCGAAAATATGCTGTACCAAGAACGCAAGCATGTCGTGTCCGTCGAGCGCTTTTTCACTGAAGTGTGGGATGTGATTACCGGCGCGCCCATGGAAATCAAGCTCATGTGTTTGCTGCAATTGATTGTCTGGTATGCCGTACTAGTACTAGTACTAGTAGTACTAGTGTCCTTCTCGAACGAGGTTGACCAATGGACGTGCGTAGGATGGCGTGGTTTGCATTGGACAATCAAAAGTACAAGTGGTGGGCTGAGACCGTGTTTCGGGGGTGTCCGGTGCTTCAAAGCAATGCCACAAGTGCTGACGGCGTGGGCTGCGATGGACATGGCGTGGATTTGTACATGGAAGGACTGGACATGGCGCGGCATGCAGTTCAAGGCCTCGTACGTCGACTGCGTATTATTTATATTGTATCATGCTGAAATATATATATATATATGTAGTCGGCAGTCGCGTTCACGTCAACTTTGACGTTCTTTTGGTGGATACCGCGAAACCCCACTGGCGCGTCGTTGAAACAAGTCAACTTGACGTACATGACCCTCGGCGGTACCGCCTCCTTCACCTCTTATCGTCATGCCAATGAATCTGGATCTAGTCGTGATGCTCGTGGTGGCGGTGGCGGTGGGGTCGGCGTCGCACGCCGTGTCGTTTATAGCGTTTGTGAGCTTGGGAGGGTACTTTGCCACTGTGAACATCCTTCCGTTTGCCATGGTGCGTGCTGTGAATTCATATATATATATTGTGTGGAATGATCTTAATGTATAACAATCATGTTGTTTATACCCTAGACGGGAATTATTGCCAAAGACTTTATGGACGCGACCGACCGGTTCAACAACAACGGGTTGTACGTGGGATTGCTCATGCAGTTTTCATGCTGCGCCAAGTTTGCCGTCGAAAACTACAACACAACGTCCATCTCGTCCCTTGGTAACTAACTATCCCTACTACTACTACTACTACTACTACTAGTACTACTACTGCTGAACTAACTGTTTCACGACAGGATCGGACAACATATTAGCGTTGCCCTTGCTGCTATTCGTGGCGTCGACTGTATTTACGTACTATAACAAGTACGACGTTTAACGGACGCCGCGTCGTCGATAATGTAGTTGCCTCTGCTCCAATCGGAATGATTCTATATATATACAATACTACTAGTATATAGTAAGCGTTGATGTTTTCATTTGAGCAGCACTATCCGTGGATACTTTGTTTATGATGTACTACGTAGTAGCGCATTGTATCGTCGCATAAGAGGGGGTTGTACTACATTGACGGGTAGCTAGCACTGGAGCAAATGCTCCTTCAGCCCCGCGCGCTGGCGGTAGCTGTTGCCGTGCGCCAAGTAATCGGCATACGATACTCGACCCCCACTTAGATGTCGCTTGGTTGGGGACGTGGCTGGCCACTCGGGGCGCTTATTTGGGGGGTACCTCCGCCACCGCGACCACTTGGTTTCGGTGGACTCTCGACGGTTTATAGTGTTGGTCGAGGACCGGCGGCGGTTCAGTTGAGTTTGAAGCGGCTTGGCGGTGAAAGACATGTTGCGAAAGTACCCAGCAATGAACGTGTCAAAGTTGGTGTTGTCGTCCGTGTTGGAAATGGACGGAGGCTCCCCGTCGTGCACCAGCGGGTTCTGGACTTCGTTTTTTCGCTCAATGTACAAGTGCCGCGGGGGGGTTAAGATCAGCGCATTCAGAAGCATCTTGGATTTCTACATATAAAACCACAATGTCGTCAAATATCATACACGGACTCGCCAAGTATCGTGTAGTAGTATCGATAGAGAGAAGTATTATCGTTGCCGACATATGTACCTGGTGCCACAGATGCTCCCCCAGTGTTTTCCACTTTGTTTTCACCCGAGGGTTGCCCACCGTCTTGGGGGGCGGCGGGGCGTCGTCCAGCAAGTGCGACACAGTCAGCTCGGAAATACTAAACGACCGCGATCGTGTGTGTTTGGCTGGGGTGGTGGGATGGGGGCTTGCCTCGTTAACTGTTGAAGTCGAGGGGGGATGGGACTCGCCCAGAGTCAACATGGTGAGGGAATGCGACCGAACGTGTCGCCTGGACGGGGGGGCTGGTGTCGCGAGGTCCACCGCAACGGGAGCCGCAGGTGGGGCACCCCGACGTGTGGAAAGTGGTGGCGGAGACGGCGGTCGCGTCGTGCGTTGAGCTCTGTGGTCGTGGAAGTTGGTCAGCAAGTGGCTAAACAATTCATGGGCGTACCTGCAGAAGTCCCGACCGTAGCGTTTGTGCAGGGAACGCCTCATGTTGATGGAGGGCGGCGTGGATGGAGGGGGAAATGAGCAGCGAACGGCGTATGACTGAGGGCTGGCATCCCCTTCCGGTTTCGGAACGTAAGTACTTCGGTACCCAATCTACCAACAAGGGGCAATGGTAAGCACGATGGGCGGCAGAAGGGGAACGTCCGTACCAACACATCTCGATGCTGGAATTGCGTCGACGGAATCAAACGAGGACGAGGTGGCTGGTCCATGAAGGGGAAGGAACCTGCGACGTCTATGGATGGGTTGCCAGTAGCAACAGCCAGTCAGCTACTGCATCGGTACGGTGATGTGTATTTTTAGCGCTCGGTCAGAACGGGTATTATAAACGGTCAGGTATGTACTTGCACGCGATGAAGGTATTTATTTCCATGTAACATCATCGTGTGCCAATCCGCAATGTGATGCTTGTCGTGTCACAAGGCAGTGGCGAACTCAAGAAGCGAAGCTCGGTTAGAGGTCGATGAAAAATGCCAAGCATGCGAAAGGACAACCCAAGAAACCATTAAATTAGCCCGTGTGTCGTGCGTGCATCTGTTAATTTCGACGGGGCGATGCTTGTAGTTGCTACGCCATCTGTGATAGGCGAATGCACTGGAGCCCACTCACGCTGTCAAGCTTTGCCATACAAGCGCGCGGTCGTCCACATTCCTTTCACAAGAGCCCAGTAGAGTCGCTAAATCCGACAATTCCTTTGGTTCCTCGGATTACCCTTTGTGGCCATGTATGTTTTGTGCGAGTCTGGTGTTGTGGTTGCGGCACCTCGACAAATATCGTCCATCGATTGGCTGGTTCGTGTCCTTTCTCCACCAATCATAAGCTAGGGATCCCGCCACATAGCATTGCGTGCCCTTGCTTCCAAAAATACACTGCTTTGATTGGCTGCCCGCGATGACGTCGGCAGTATTGCGTTGCGTATTCCTCGGTGCAAGGTTGTTGTACTGCGTAATCCGGGATGCGGACCAGATCGTGTGGCTTTGGATGGATTGCCTCGTCACGCCGTACGCTTTGGGTACAGTTGCGGCATCAACAACTGACCTTCAACCATGGGCTCAGCAAAAACGCCTTCTTCGATCATCCAATCCTCCCACAACAAATCAGAGCGATGACTCGCCTACATAAGCTTACACAGTAGTAATCCATTCCTAGCTGCATAGAAACACAAGGCACCAACACACCAGAGGACACAGTTCGCGCCATTGCCACTTACGACAGGTTAAGTGTGCATTTAACGTCACCGACGTCACTGGAGCGCTTCCATCACGAAGGCATTGCACAAACGTTGCATCGGCCCAGTAGATTTGGGCTGCAGTAATTACGGCAAGCAGCTCAACCTGTGGTGGAGAGGTGTCGTGCACACGCTTCAACTTCAAGCGCCGATTACCTAATCAAAGTAGGCTCCAACGATTTTATCGAAATGCACCCATGTTAGCAGTGCACTAAAGTTCCGGCATCTGGAGGAATGCATTGAAACAAGAGAATTCGAGGGAAATCCCTCTGGTGCAAGTCGAAACCATCTCTGATTGGCCACTGTTGTGGCGTGGGAGTGTTTGCAACCGGTCTGTCGCACTCCGCCAAGGCGCATTTTCGCCGCAGCGGGCGGCGACGTGACTTCCGACGCCTCGTTCTCTGGATGTACATGTCGTGGCCTCGTCATTTCCACAGTCGTCGATGAAGATAATTGTAATCTATCGTGGACTTCCGTCTAGAGCGCATGAAGTGACCTACAAGCTGAGATCCATGCATGGATAGTGCCCAACGTCAAGATGTTGCGGAATGATGTCATCGGCGAGTGGTGGGGGTGCCGAAAATCCTGTGATTTGATTGGCTAAAAATCAACTTGGCGACACGTCAACTTTGAAGCCAGGACTTCCGTGGGGGCCAGGGGTAGGGTTGTTTCTGATTGGCTGATGGATTTACCACCGCGCAAAAGATCTCTCATTTTTCAATTTGCCTCCGCCAGCACAAATAGTCTAGGACTCATGTCGGCCAAGGCGATTCGCGAATACGACGGCAAGCGCCTGCTGGGCAAGTGGCTGAGCGACTACTCCAGTGGGAAGCATACACTGGAGAGCCGCTTCGTCCAAATCACCCCCGATATCTTTGACGCCAAGATCCCCACGGTCACGTTCGACTCGATTGCGCGCGAAAACCCGTGGTTGTTGCAGACCAAGCTTGTCGTGAAGCCCGATCAACTGATCAAGCGCCGCGGCAAGGCCAACTTGCTCCTGTTGAACGCCACGTGGGACGAAGTCAAGCAATGGATCAAGGAACGCATGAGCCGCGAAATTCAAGTCGAAGTCGTGAGCGGCATCTTGGACCATTTCATTGTCGAACCGTTTGTGCCCCATGCCTCGACGGACGAGTACTATTTGTGCATCCAATCCAACCGCGAAGGCGAACAAATCCTGTTTCACCACGAAGGCGGTGTGGACGTGGGTGATGTCGACGCCAAGGCCCTCCGCTTCCAAGTCAACTTGGAGCACACGCCCACGGAAGGCGACATCGTGGCTTCCTTGTTGAAGCACGTGTCGTCGGATCGTCAAACCATCATCGCATCGTTCATTGCGTCCTTGTTGGCCTTGTACCGCGACTTGAACTTTGTGTACATGGAAATCAACCCGATTGTCGTGGTGGGGGACAAGATCATTCCGTTGGACATGGCCGCCAAGTTGGACGAAACGGCGAACTTTTTGTGCGGCAGCAAGTGGGGTGAAATCGAATTCCCGGCCCCGTTTGGCCGTGCCAAATTCCCCGAAGAAGCGTACGTCGCCGAATTAGATAGCAAGACTGGCGCGTCCCTGAAGCTGACCATTCTGAACCATCGCGGTCGCGTGTGGACGATGGTGGCTGGCGGCGGTGCGTCCGTTGTGTATGCCGACACCATTTCCGACTTGGGGTTTGGCCACGAATTGGCCAACTATGGCGAGTACTCTGGCGCGCCGTCCGAGGCCCACACGTACCAATACGCTCGCACGATCCTCGACCTGCTGACCCGCGAACACGATCCTCGCGGCAAAGTGCTGATCATTGGCGGTGGTATTGCCAACTTTACCGACGTGGCTCTCACGTTCAAGGGCATCATCAGTGCCATCACCGACTTCCAAGACAAGCTCAAAGAACGCAACGTGACCATTTGGGTTCGCCGAGGGGGCCCCAACTACCAAGAAGGGCTGCGTCTTGTGCGCGAAGTGGGCGTGTCCACTGGCGTGCCCATCCACGTGTTTGGTCCTGAAACGCACATCACGGCGATCGTGCCCATGGCGTTGGGCCTGATCCAAGCGCCCGAACCGTTGAGCGGCGGCTCCATCCCGTCTCCTCCTGCCAAGTCCCCCCCGCAACCTTCGCCGATCGCGTCGCCCCAATCCACGAACAAGAAGACCCTTGCGTCCGACACCCACGATGCGGCGACTTCCCCGACTGCGGCCACGTCCACCACCTCTGGCGTCAAAGTCATCCAAGACGAAGGCATTGTGCGCATGGAATCCAACACCAGATGCATCGTGTACGGCATGCAGCAACGCGCGGTGCAAGGCATGCTGGACTTTGACTACTTGTGCAAACGCGACACGCCGTCCGTGGCGGCGATGATTTTCCCCTTTAGCCAAAACCACTACCTCAAGTTCTACTGGGGCACCACCGAACGCCTGATCCCGGTGTTTCAGTCCCTTGAAGAAGCCGCCAAGAAATTTCCCGACGTGAGTGTCCTCGTCAACTTTTCGTCGTTCCGGTCCGTGTACTCGTCGACGATGGAAGGGCTGGCGTGCAGCGACACGATCAAGACCCATGCCATCATTGCCGAAGGCGTGCCAGAATCCCAAACGCGCTTGATCATCAAGCGCGCCAAGGAGTTGAACGTGGGGCTCATCGGGCCCGCCACCGTCGGCGGCATCAAGCCTGGCTGCTTGCGTATCGGCAACACGGGTGGGATGCTGGATAACATTGTCCAGTCCAAGCTGTACCGCCCTGGCTCCGTCGCGTACGTGTCCAAGTCGGGCGGGATGTCGAACGAACTGAACAACATCATCAGCCAAACGTCGGACGGCGTGTTCGAAGGCGTGGCCATCGGCGGCGACAAGTACCCTGGGTCCACGTTTATCCAGCACTTGCTGCGTTACCAGCAAAACCCGCAGGTCAAGATGATGGTGCTGCTCGGCGAAGTGGGCGGGACCGACGAGTTTGAAGTGTGCCGGGCGATTCAAAGCGGCGTCCTCTCTAAGCCCGTGGTCGCGTGGTGCATTGGCACGTGCGCCAAGATCTTCCCCTTCGAAGTGCAGTTTGGCCATGCCGGCGCGTGCGCCAACGGCGAGTCCGAGACGGCCGAGGCCAAGAACGCCGCACTGGCCCACGCCGGCGCGATCGTGCCCAAGAACTTTGACCTCTTTGGCCACGCTATCCGCGAAACGTACGACAAACTCGTCGCGTCCGGTGTGCTCGTGCCTCGCCCAGAGGTGCCGGTGCCGGCGGTGCCTATGGACTATGCGTGGGCTAAGAACTTGGGGCTGATCCGCAAGCCAGCCAACTTTATCTCGTCCATCACGGACGACCGTGGCGAGGAGCTGACGTACGCGGGCATGCCGATCTCGGAAGTGTTTGAGCAAGACTTGGGCGTGGGAGGCGTGCTGGGCTTGCTCTGGTTCAAGCGAAAGCTGCCGCCGTACGCGACCAAGTTCATTGAGTTTGTGCTCATGGTCACCGCCGACCACGGCCCCGCCGTCTCTGGCGCGCACAATGCGATCGTGACGGCGCGTGCCGGCAAGGACTTGATCTCGTCGCTCGTGTCTGGCCTCATGACCATCGGACCCCGCTTTGGCGGTGCGTTGGACCAAGCCGCGGACATGTTCACCAAAGCACATGACTCTGGGCTGTCGCCGCTGGACTTCGTCAACAAGATGAAGGCGACTAACCAGCTCATCATGGGCATCGGCCATCGCATCAAGAGCACGACCAACCCCGACAAGCGTGTGACGATCATCAAGGAGTTTGCGCTGAAGCACTTCCCCGGCAACAGCATCTTGAACTACGCGCTCGAAGTGGAGAAGATCACGACCAAGAAGCGGTCGACGCTCATCCTCAACGTGGACGGGTGCATTGCCGTGTGCTTTGTCGACTTGCTGCGCAACTGCGGCGCGTTCACCCAGGAAGAAGCCGACGACCAAATCGCCGACGGATGCCTCAACGGGCTCTTCGTGCTCGGGCGGTCCATCGGGTTCATTGGCCATTTCTTGGACCAAAAGCGGTTGAAGCAGCCGTTGTATCGTCATCCGTGGGACGACATCTCGTACATGAGCGACAGCCTGTAAACACCATGTATCACATTATTCAGTTCTTAAAAAAACTAAAAACAAAAGCAATTATTGTGAAGTCGCGATCAAAATGATATATACGCTAAACCTTCTGATTAGCTAAGTTATATATACTTGACCACTGACATAATTGGATTAACGGAAAAAACCAGTAAATTACCCGATATCAGAGAATGGCCCGACACACTTTTCATGACCAAATTTATTTAATTGCATATAAGCTAGTGAATATATTTCAGAACGATAATAGAATTACGTGTCCTACTAATTCGAAGGATAAAATTAGTGGATTCACAGTCAGGCTAAAATAGGGCCATTAACTGATAACGAGCCAATTTATGGTGCACTTGAAGGAGACCTCCTCGTAGAATGCAGTTTTCTCGTCTCTTAGGAACGGGATTTCAATTATGAAAAGTGCTGCATGAAGCCGAAAGGTTGGGCATTATTCTGGTTATTTAATCGGCTTAAAATGGACTTCAGCTTACGTTCAGTTATTTCGATTTCCACTTCTTAAACTGTCCCGTGCATTATAAGCTGGCCATCTACGTTATCCTGAAATTTCACAATTTTGACTTTGACGGCAATACCTTGGTGAAGCATGTATCAAATTCTTTAAAGCTTGAGCATAAGATGTAGAGCGTTCAATCGTCTTTCACGTCATGATTGGAAGTACGTTGAATTCGTCATAGTTGTTGAGAAATCGAAAACAAGCTAAGGGGTCGATTTTCGGGCCATATATTGGTTTTTTACGTTAGCGAATACCGTCGATTCGGGATTCACAATTTGATGGCAAGATAGATATGCGATAAAATAGGTCACCACATACTGTAAATCCAGAGCTTTCATTTGTTTCGCCAAACATTGATTGCCCTTTCAGTGCGACGCTTATTGATCTTGGAATGATTGGCTTGCGGTGATTCGTTCTTCTGCATTCTTGCTATAATTTACAACAGGCAACCATCCGACGAAACGTATCAAAACTCGTCATGTTTTCAAAAGTCATGGCACATGACTGAGCCGCAAAATGGCCTTGCGGAGTCGGGCGCGGTGAGCGAACTTGTTGACGCCGATCTCTGTGAGTGCTCGGTCGACGTCTTCTTCGTCCAACAGACCCAGGTCCTTGATCGAGTGGAAGCCTTGGGTCTCAAAGCTGCTCGCGTAGCTTAAGTACTCCATGCTCTTGTGGCCATCGATCTCTGCTAGCCACTTGCGCAGCCGACCGCCTTCCAGCGACGACACTGTCCCCTCTGTCTGGTTGTTCGACCCATCGAGACTCAAGAGCTCGTCCACCGACATCTTTCGGATGTCGGAGGCTTTCAGCGCCGTCGTGCATTCAGGATCATCGTCAACCGGGTTGTTGCTTTCGTCGTCGTCGAGCCCGTCTTGGTTGCTCGGCGCAACGTCCTTGGCCTTCTTCTTCCCCTTGAGCTGTTTTATGTCGTCGTCCACTTCCATGCGTCGATGCTTCTCGTACTCTGCTTTTTGAATGCGACGACGCAACTCCAACGTGGCATTTTCGACTTCAGCGTCGCGGATGTTGACCCGTGAGTCGTCGTGGTACAAGTTGCTTAAGAGGGAACGTTTCTGGTCTTGGTCGAACTGCATCCGTCGCACGCGACTGAAGCAATTGCCGAACGCACCGGCAATACATGCTGGCGTGGCAGCCACCGCGCCAGGAACAGCGTTAATCCCGCTCCACATCGTTTCTCGCGACGGAATTGAGTTGATAAGCTTGTCGTGGATTACGTCGCGGCTTGGAAGTCGACTCCACACCGAGTCCTCCTTGGGTACCCCGGAGGATGGGATACTTGTCCACATGGCTTCGTCCATGTCGCTTGATGTGCTCTTCAGGTGGTGAATCCAGGTCTGTCCAGCCAAATGCGATGCCCCTATGGCACGTGAGGACATGCAAAATGGAATCTAATCAAGATCTTCCAAAGTGGAAGAAACGGTTGAGGATCGACTTGGTCAAAATAGTCAATTAGTTGCCTAGTACTACTACTGCTTACTACAATAGTACCTACTCCGTTTCTTTTTTACTGTATAGTGCCAATTTACGGTTTTTAATATACTGTTCATTTGGTTTGGCCAATGAGAGTTACGAAACAAATATATTCAGCCAATCAAAGCAAAACCCTGCTCGTCCAAATTGCATCAATGTAATTGGTGGATACCTACGAATCAAACTCTGAATACGACACACTGCATCCACTTAATTGGCGGAAACTTCAGCTAATCAGTTCTATGTAAAATGGGTGCGACTACATTAATGGTTGCTATTCTGTCTCTTGTGAGCAAATCGCTTCGCTAAATTATCAGGAGGATCAGAACGAACAACCGCTTTCGGCAGCCAATAAAAATTCGCTACTTGGCCCCAGGGTCACTGTGATGGGCCAAATTTCCTCAATAGTGTTTACTTCGTAGAAAAAAAAGCACTTCGTAACTGGGTAGTACTACGTAGTAGTACTATCGCTTATATCATCCGGATAACAATCGTTGGCATTGAGCTGCGTTCCGATGAAACAGCATATCCCATTGTTAGCACGAGGTCACGGAAACATTTGACGCGCCCTGTCCATGTGGCTGTATGCGAAAAGGATGACGATGAGACTCCTCAAAACGAATACTACGTAGTATTAGTATACTAGTGCATACTAGTATCATCTCTATCGATGTATCCGGAGTTTTGGTTGCTGATATATATTAAATGTGGAGGGTCATGAGGTAGGGTATTGAATGTAAGAGGTGAAATGCAATACTTCACCATGTATACTAAAACCAAGAGTATGGTTTGGGGTGCAGGGTTTTTCAGAAACCCAAAAAACACACAGTACCTTTGAGTTTCGGCAACCCCAAGTGGCGGCGCGCATTGAGGCATGGCGGCCATCTCGATCGCAAGGGACAGTGACGCTCTTGAAAATGCCACGAGACATGCTCATGGCACAGATGAACGACATGACAATGAGGCTAACACGTCCGACCAGTCTCGCTCGCCTAACAGTCCATTCGCCGACCGAACGTCGGTGTCGTCGCCTGCAACTTCTTCGTCGACAGGCGGCGGTGTGCCACCTCGACTCATGCGAGCGAGGACGCGTTCGTCCTCTTCTGTTTCCATCAAAAGTGGTGGGGACGACGACATGGACGACGCCGATGATGGGAACCGCTCAGATTCCTCGATTGTCTCTGCTCCCGCAGCAACAGCAACGACCTTGGCCAAGAAGCCATATGTGATGGGCACGGCCGAAAGCAATGGTTTGCGGCGAACGGTGAAAGTTGTAGTGCAACGAACGACGGACGTCGAGCAACGATTGCCCCAAATGGTGCACAAGATAGGGGTGATTGTGGAAACCCCGCGCCATCCAAACACGTGGTTCCGTGTGCGGTTCCGCAGCGGCAAGATCCATACCTTCCGAGCGTCGGGGCTGAAGCCATTGAAGGAAGCGCAAGCGGATGGAGACAACGTGGACCTGAGCGAAATCCCCGACGACCAGGACCTCGGTCCTCCGAGCGACGACGACCATGAGTCTGGGTCGGCCCCACCGCCGCCGCCTCCACCGCCTCCTTCCGACGACACTAGTCGCTTTGAAAAGCACGACAAGGTCACAATCAAGCTTGTGGACCCGACCAAGCGCGAGCTCTCGGACCTTCGCGTTCATAATGGCAAAGACGGCGTCGTCCAAGAGGTATAACCACATCCATCGAGATCCCGATCAAGAGGATTATATTGTACACGGAGGATGACATATTTGACATGTATTTTTTATTAGGTACTTGCACAGGGCGGGTACAAAGTAGCGTTGAGCGGCGCGGGGACTCGGAAAGACGAGTCAACAGTCATCTTGGTTAAGCAAGCCAAGCACCTGCGGCGGTCGAATGCGGACGACGGCGCCGCCAACAACGTCGACAGCCACGACGAAAGCGGCGCCACCGCCATGTCCGACGACGAGGACGAGGTGACACCGTCCAAGGCGATCCCGGCCAACGACATTGACGAAGGGTCGGACGGGGACAACGAAGAGGAGGAGGAACCGGCGGACGAAGAGCCGAGTCGGCCTCGCAAGGTATGTATATATATATATAGCTAGTTGAGGTTTACGCTACGATGTAGGCCAAAAAGAAGGAGTCGGGGTCGCTACTGTCGGACTTGGACACGGACCTGTGGATCGGGCGGCGGGTGCGCATCAACGTAGGCAAGTTCTCGGGACAGGCGGCGCTCGTGCTCAAGTCGGGCAACGGATGGGTTCAGCTCAAAATGGAGGGCGGCCACGAAGCCACCGCCAAGCGCGCGTACGAGCTGACGCTGCTCGAGACCCTCTCGGCTATTCAACTGGCGCCGCCATCCACCGCCGCCGCTTCGGACAACAAATCCGAGCCCGACAACGACGTCGACATGGAGGAGGACGCCGAGGACAGCGGGTCGGAGCATGGGCGCGTGGCGGGCAGCGGACTGCGGCGGCGCGGCCATTATGCGCAGTCGTGGATCGAGCGCAAGGTGTACTTGCCAGGGAACCACGGCACGGGTATCGTCAAGAAGGCGGACCGCGACGTGTGCACGGTGGAGGTGGAGAACGCGAGCAAAAGCATCAAAGTGTTCAAGAAGCAGGAGCTTGTGCTCATCGAAGACGACTTTACGATCACACAGCACCGACACCACCGCCGCCCCAACAAGGCGGCCACCAAGCTCAACCTCCCCGACGGCGTCGTGTTGATGGTATGTGAAACCCAATACTATTGTATTCCTTTTTACCCTAAATTTGGTTGACTTTTGGGCTGATTCGTTGCCAACTCGATCGATCGATCGATTGTTTGTCCTGACTTTTGTATGGGATCGTCCAGAATCACACTAATTTCAGTCACACACTAATTCAGTATTGCATTGGTCGAATGTGAGTGGATTTTTTGATTGGCTACTTGATTCGTGTTGTGGGTTTTGATTGGTCGATATATCGATTGTATCTGCCGATGTATTTGGTTCTTCTGCTAATATTTTGACCACCCAAACACTCCAATTTCGAAGAATCGACTTTAGACAATACCATGATTGACACTATTGTGCTTTCGAGTGAAATGTCATTGTGTTGTGGTTTCTCGTTGGAATTTAAGTCGATTTGATTGGCTACTTCAGATGAGCTCAAAATTATTAACCAATCAAAACCCATTTCTCAATGAAATTCAACCAATCAGATCGATTGTGGATCAAATCGACAATACAAATGGTTTTATTTCATTGGATGATTGTAGGGCATCACCACGCAACGGTACACGTTGTTTCAAGACCAAGTGAAGAAACATGTGACACGGCGGCGCGATAAGATCAAGATGCGACCGAATCTGATGGAATGGCAGTCGACGCTCGACACACGGCTGCACACGTCCGTGGCCGCCGACGACTTGGCCGACGTCATCGACTTGTTCGTTTTGCCTTCGTGCGCCCTCTGCGGCGTTGAGAAGCAGGTACATCGAGTCATCGCATCAGCTAGAACAACATTCACGTGATAGGAACCGGATGGGGCGTGCTGGAATGTGCAATGTCCGCGCTGTCCTGTGTTTGATGCAGGTAAGTGTCGACTAGGACGACGACATTGCATGATGCATTGTTCTAGATGCGGCCAACGGAGTGCGTGGGTGCAGCAGACTACCCCTCAAACCATTGACCGACCGGTATGTGTCGTTGAAAGCTCAAATCCCCGATGTCGTCGAATCCTCCTTCTCGACGGCAGCACCCCCAGAGCCCGAAACCACCACGTCGAATCAACAACCGGTACACGATGAGCTATGATATATATAGCTGCTAAACACTAGCATATCGGACAGTGTATGATGACCTCATGATGCAGGATGCTGCCGCCTCACGCAAACGCAGACGAAAAGACTCCCTGTCTTCGACTGTCGATGTCGACGACAAGGACGGGGTGCCGCCACCCCCATCACCTGCACCACCCGTCCAAGCAGGTCCTAGCGCATGGAGGTCCGAAGAACCTGGCCTGCCGCCACATGTGGCGCCTCTCAAGGTTGAAGCGCCGATGGAGCCTCCGTCCATGACACCTTCGCAAGGGTCGCCCTTGCCGTCGTCTGGTGCCACAATGCCTACGTTTCGGCCAGCGTACGAAAGCGTGTTTTCCAAAAAAATGTAGAAATCACATTTTTTCCAAATCTAATTCAGGTTGTTTTCATTTTTCTTCCAAAATAAATTCGCCAAAACCTGGCAAACTGGTAATTTAAGGTGACGTTTAATACGAAGCTCCAGGTTGTTTTCATATTTCTTCAAAATAAATTCGCCAAAACCTGGCAAACGGTAATTTAAGGTGACGTTTAATACGAAGCTCCAGCTTATTAATAATAATTTTTTTACAGAACTGTAATGGTATAGTAATATTCAACCTTTTCAAACAAACGGTAGTACAAAACAGGTTTTTTTAAGGTAAAATTCGACCAATTCCAGATGAATAATTCCTCCGTTAACCACGACGATAGCAACAACCTCATGAGCAACCATGCGGCGACGCACAGTAGTCTCCTCGTACGATGCCTCACCGCTCCGACTGGAGGGTACTTCCAACCTTCGCGTGAACTTCCCCCGCTAGACATGATCGAGGAATCATGCGTTTCGGCGTGCAATCGCGGTGGACTCCGCGTGCAAGTGTGTCTAGCAGCGGACGCCGCTGCCCAACTGTTGCAAACGATCACACAACCCACGTTACACAAGGTGCACTTGGTGATCCTCCGCGTCGTGGCTACGTTTCCAATGGACGCTCTTTTGAAGCTTCTGCGCGCGTTGCGTCAGATGAGTCGACAGCTCTTCCTGTGCGTGTTCTCGCCGCACATTACGGACCACCCCATGCGGCGGTATCGATGCTTCACCGACGGTGCGTCCATGGTCACCAATTCCGTGGACGCGTTGACAAGCGTTCTGCTCAAACTTTCCGCCGAAGAAGACGCAGAACTTGCGATGTCGAGCTCGTCGACTACGCGGCGCCACCAACACTATGCATGCCCTTTCTGCGGCAAGTCCGGTCTCACGGAAGACGCGCTGTGGATCCATTGTCCCCTCCATCACATCAACGAGAAGAACCGAACGGACCTCCCCTGCCCCATATGCTTGGACAAGCAAGGCAAGTCCTACCGCGGGTCCACGCCTTTCCAAGTCCACCTTCACAACGCGCACGGCCCACCTGGCCGCGGCGACCTCCCCAGCGAATTCCGCAATCCCGAGTCCACTTTGTACTGCTTTGCGCTCGTGGTGTGTCGGCATCCCGTGACGAAGCATTTCCTGTTGGTCCAGGAGTTTGCATGTTCGGGCTACTGGCTGCCCGGCGGTCGCGTCGACGCCGGCGAAACCCCCGAAGCCGCCGCGATCCGGGAGACGAAGGAAGAGGCGGGCATGGATGTGCGCCTCACGGGGCTGCTCAAGCTCGAGTACCACCCTAAGACGGACTCGTCCGGCCGCGAGTACGTCCGCATGCGGTTTGTGTTCCTCGCGGAACCCGTCGACCATGCGCAGAAACCCAAGTCCGTGCCCGACTACGAGAGCGCCGGCGCGTCGTGGTGCCACGTGGACGACGTCAAGCAGCTGCCGTTACGAGGACCGGAACCCGTCGAGTATTTTGAATTCGTGGCCACTGGCGGCGCCGTGGTCCCGCTCACGAGCATCGTCATGAAGAACGACCGGCGCTAAGGAAATCTCTCGCTGCTGATCATGGAGACGGAACGAAGACGACGACGGTGAAGATTATAATTAGGACTCTCGCAACAACGCCATCATTGTCATACTGGCTGATACACTTCAAACGTGCCGACGCCAAAGATGAGTTTGATCTTGGTCGAGGTCGACACGGGGGGCGCGGCGCCGCCGTGCTTTTTCTACATGTCAAAACGTATACGAATATAATCCATGTCGTTGCCGTTGAATATATATATATAATATATATAGTCGATATTCTTCAAATTTCCCAATCTCAATGGTCGAGGCGAGACATCTGATTGGCTAATATCCGAAATCCAAAACGTATTATAGCCAATCAGCGACAAGTAGTAACGGATATTGACCAATGGGAGAGATTGGTGCCCGGTTCAGACGGTGAGATTCGATTGTGAACGGAGTCCGGAATATCGTCTTTTCAAATCAATAATATATATATATATATATATGTATCGTACCCGGAACAGGTCGTCCTTGAGCATGTCGTAGTATCGCTGGTGGATGCGCAGCCAGTGCGCTTCGCCCAACGTAGCTTTTTGGATGCGGTCTTGCAGGCGAAAGCATGGGAAGAGGATCATCGGGTACCGTCGATTGAGCAAGTCGAACCCGGTAAAGTCGATCACGCCTTCGTTCTTTCTGCATGTTTGTCAATCATTCCTGTAGGTTAACACTCCCAATATGCACGACGGACTTGTCGAATTCTTTGAGCGCGCGGTTAAAGTTGCCTGTGAAGAGTGGCTTGCCATCGTTGACCATGTTGGCCAGTTTTGCAAATTCAGACTAAAAGTTCAGTGTATTTGTGCGATACAGTACACGAACGGTTTATCGTCCTGCATTATTATGGGAAGGTTGATTGTACCTCGTCGATGCTGCCGCTGTCGTCGTCGTCAAACGTTTTGAATGCAACTGCATGTTCGTCATACATATCGTAGCATTATCACCATCATGCTCATCCATATCATCCTCATAATGGATCATCCAACACAGACGAAGTATGTAGTACGTACATTGCAAGATCTCTTCGCGTGTAAACATGCAATAACTGGTGAGCGCATGCACAAATTCTTCGTAATCGATCTACCAAGATGCACAACGAGGCAATCATACACATGTACGACACTAGTAGTGGAGTTGGAGTGTGGTTCTGGCATGTTGATGTTCATGGCCTGAATACGCAACAGGATGTATGTACCGTGCCACTGCCGTCCGTATCTACAAACATCGTGTCAGTTCCAGGGCAACAACACGACGCACATGGCTGATGTTGTCTCACCGATGAGCCGGAAGAGGCTCTCGGAATACGGATTCCGATTCTCGTCGATAAACTCGAAAAACTCTTCAAATGAGATCTGGCCCGTGCGACTAGTAACATCATGCCAGCCGCGTGACCTGGACGAATGTGCTCAACGTGAACGTACTCGACGTCGATGTAGTTGAACACTTCCTTGAGCTTGCGAAGCTCGCATTGCCCCACTACGTACACAACGTGCACATAGGCTGTGAACGAACGAACGACGCCATCATCATGGCGGTTGCATGTTTGGATATCGCATGTACTTTGATACTTGAGCACCGTGTCAATGGTGCGCTGGGACTCGAGCGTGATGTCTCCTAGTGGACGCATAAGACTCACGGATGATGGCGCGGACGACGGTACCTGACTTCTTGCTTCGCGACACTTGAAAAACCGATTTGTAGCGCTTGATTGAGCTGGCCGATGGCGCGGGCTTTGTAGCTTTTGCGGGTGCGTCTGGTAGTTTCAGTGTGTCGCCCTTGGGAGCCGACGCGGGGGTGGCCACGTCGGGCAGGGTGATGGGCGCCGCCGCCGCCTTGGGGTCGTCCGGCAGGACCTTGGTCGCCATGTCGTGCCTCCGTTTGCTCAAAGGAGGCAGCAAGTTTGGCAACGACCCGCGCTTTTCCGGCACTGGTTTCTTGACGTTCGCTTGTGCAGCGGACAGCCGCCGCTTCTGCGGCGATTCTCCTCCCATCCGCCACGATGAATTCGGTCAACGCGTTTGTCGTCCGAGGTATTTATAGGATAAGAAATGCCCCCTGGGGTGTGTATTTTTGACTGCACCGTGCGCATATTGCGTTATCAAGTGCACGTAGCATCATCCTTGCGTCCTGAACACGCTAAGGGGTGCGGTTTATGTTCCTTGCGTGAACCGCCCACCACACCAATCCTGTACGTGCTTCTGCATGTTTGGAATACGTTCGTTGTTGCAGAAGCTATATCGACCAGGAGACTTCAATCAGCCTAGCAAGGCTACCACCAGATACGTCCACTACGTGGGAGCTTTGAGCAAGGCGTGCCACAGAGGTGGTGACGGCGGCAGGGAGCGCCCATGTTGCTCAGCGTTCGACCCCTACCCCTACTCAACTGGTCGACGTTGAAGTTGGTCGAATTTGTAACACAATCCATGGGTATCCGTATATTTTCCATGACGACACTGCGTTTAACCGGATATGCATTTACACAGGGTTTCTGCAAGCAAACGCAGCGACGATCGAGGGTATTTGGTTTCATTCTCACAGGGTATCTAATGTTAAAGGTTATATTAATTTGACCTCCCCACCTTTGCACGACACGTGTGGTTGTTCATTCAGCATTTCTCCAATTCCACCGAAGATGCCCGCCAAGCAAGCTACCGCCAAGCCCGTCGTCGTCGCCAAGGAAGCTGAACTTCCTCGCTCTCTCCTCATCTCCGACAAGGGCGAGTTGACCCCTGCGTTTGTCCATGCGCTGAAGCGCATCTTCCAAAAGTTCTCTGAAGGCACGAACGCCCTCACTTCCGAACAATTGAACACCTTCTCCAAGGCGTGCAACGACGGCAAGGGATTTACCGCCAAAGAATTGAACGAAATCCACATGTACTTCGATTGCGACGAAAACAAGGGCTTGACCCAGGTATGTCGCCTTCGTCCGCCATTGCCGTCAGCAGTGGAATTCATCAGGACATGCTCTTTGTAGCGCGGCTTCTGCGACATGTACCATACTCAAACCAGCGCTGAACCCAGCGAGACGTGGAAGGATTTGGGCAAACTTGGGTATTCCATTTTCCGCACAACCGTCGGCGCCTTCTAATCACGCGTCTTGTAGCTTTTTGAACCACTTGATCGGCAAGGGCGGCTGCTTCGCTTGCGGCGCGGAAGCCAAGACCTCATGCGCCCGATGCCTCTGCGTGCGTTACTGCTCGAAGGAATGCCAAACGGAAGACTGGAAGTCTGGCCACAAGCGGGCATGCAAGCCCAAGGCCGCCGCCATCGTCAAGGCCACGGAATAATCGACATCACATCGACACGTCCGGTGTTGCCGACAACACTTATATAGTTGAAATAGTTTCCCAAAATGCAAAGCCCATCGCGGTCATCACTTGCATTCCTCTTGGACGTGTCTACTACGCACGTTAAACTGCAGTCCCGTCCATGTCTTTGTATTTACGTCAACGTTACAGTAGTACGATGATTGATCAAGTCACTTCTGAGCAATGGCAGAGGAAGTTGAGGGATTTCCATGGGGTAACGTGGATTTTGCGTACTAGTAGAGCATGCTTGTACACTGCGGACGTACTAGCTCTTGTCTGTTGCTTTGGTGGGGGAGCTTCCGTCGTTCCGTGGTCGCTGGTCTTATGCAAAGGAAGACAGATGCATGCGGAGCCATGTGGTCGTCGTGTCCATGTCAATGCCGAATTTGGTCAACACTAATATGATTGGACAATTTATTTGATTTTAAAGCGATTTGATTGGCTGTTGCCTCATTTTGAATTTGCCGGAGCTCGGCCGCCGCCCGTCGCCGCATCGACCCAAGATGGGAAAGAACCAACACAGTAAAGATCGCATGTTTATCACTGCTTCCGAGCACAAGTACCTTTATGGAGGGAAGAAGGATGCAGTCAAGACTGCGTACCGACGTACGTCGTATTGCCTCCATAGATGAGATGATGCATGTCGAGATCTTTACGATGTCGTAGGTCTTCCATTTGATTGCTGCTCCATCACATTGACGCCATTCAAAGTAAGTGGAGAGGACTGTCATCACAACCACTTGGATTTTTTGAGCGTGAGGTTGGTGTCGCGTAGAACCCCGTGTGCACGAGGGAAGGGCATTTGTTCGACATCGAGGCCGTGATTCCTTACGTCCAAGAGCACGGCATCGTACACCCAGCGTCATCGCGATGTGACGTCTTGCTCACGAATATGTCTTAGAACCCAGTTACGGGCCAAGCATTGACCGTGAAGGACTTGATTCGTGTACGACATCACTTCCCATTCACTTGACATCACCACCTTTGCATGCATCTGTGTAGTTGCACTTCCACAAGAACCCCGAGGGTGAATATGCATGCCCTGTCACGTACCGCGTGTTCACAAACAGCACCAAGATCGCCGCCGTCGCGACCTCGGGCAACGTGTATGCGTACGATGCGTTGGAGGAGCTGAACATCAAGTCCAAGAATTGGCATGTCCGTCATCCTCGTCTCACCTTCGTCATGGAGAATCACCGAGTCATCTCATCCATCATATCGTCATGTTCCCATCAGGATCTGGTCTCGGGTGACGAATTCAAGCGCAAAGACATCATCATCTTGCAAGATCCGGCCAACTTGGGCGGCCGCGAAATCGACTCGTTCGAGCATTTTCGACGCGCCAAGGAGACTGAAAAGGCGGTACAAAGCTCCACCACAAATATATATATATATATATATATATATATATATATATATTGACCAGTGTCTCGATGTATTTTATGTTAATATTATCATGAACGACACATAATCGTCTGGTATTGAATTGTGTAGAAACAAAACGCCGGCAAGCAGGAACACCAGACCATCTGCGCCACGTCCGCCACCGCGCGCATCTTCCAAGAGGTATATAATATATATGACTTATATAATATATTTGCTTGAAGAATATTAGAAATATTTGCTGATGTATTGCGGTAGATGGAGGCAGCCAAAGCCGTCAAGCGCAAGCGGGAAGAAGAGCTTAGGCTGGACAAGGCCGCCAAACGGACCGACGAGGAGCGCATCGCGGCATCTGTGTCGCATGCCAGTGCCGAGGATGTCGTGAAGGTTGGAAAGGACGGCAAACTTCAAGTACGGCATTGCAAGATATCGAAATATATTATATTATGACATATCTATTATTACCATGGGGAATTTTTCCTACTCATGTTGTGACTTTCCTAGTACTCCAAGTTTACGGATGGGAAAATGTCCCGATCGTTCACGTCCACGATGATGGATCCAGTACGTTCCTTGACATATAATATTTCACGATCGTAATTCTGTTCGAGTGGATAAATATATATATAATATTTCGTATATGTTTTTATATAATAGTCCACGCGAAGTCAAGCGGCAATTGCATCAGAAGCTGAAGTGCTCGACACGCGCTGGGCAAATGTCAAGAAACTCAAAAAGAAGGGCTACGTCCGCCTCGTGACCAATTTTGGCGCGATCAACTTGGAAGTACGTGGGACAATTCCCCAATCATGCGATGCAAATTCTTCCGTCGTGGGGAATATTCCCATGATATCCGTGGTTGTCCCTCATGGTGGAACCATGTAGTTGGACTGCGACTTTGTGCCGCGAACATGCGACAACTTCCTCGGGCTGTGCGCCAAGGGCTATTACACCGGCGTCATCTTCCATCGCATCATTCAAGGGTTTATGGTAATACATGCTTCTTGAGTACTTTTCAATCTAGAATGTCAGTAAAAGACTAGACTAACTTTGGTGTGTATGGCATAGATGCAAGGGGGAGACCCAAGTGGCACGGGCAAAGGCGGCGAGTCCATCTGGGGCGCGCCATTCAAAGACGAGTTTGACAGTCGCTTGGTACGCATTCAAGTAGTCCTTTCGAGTCACGTGAGTGGTGGTGGTTGGTCGAGTAGTTGCACAGCGGTCGCGGCGTGCTCAGCATGGCGAATTCCGGGTCGAACTCGAACAATTCGCAGTTTTTCATCACGTTTAAAGAGTGTCATTACTTGGACAACAAGCACTCTGTGTTTGGCCGGTAGGATATATATATATACATGTATAAATTGGTCCATCACTGGGATTTGCATAGAGTCGTGGGGGGCATGGAAGTGTTGGACGAGATCGAAGCGCTGTCGACGGACAAGGAGAATCGACCGTACGACAAAGTGCAAATTCAGAACGTTCTGGTGTTTGAAAACCCTTTTGCCCAATACGAAGAAGCCGAGAGCCAAGGCATTTCGGTACGAATGATCCAAATCAACATGTCACATTTCTGAATTAAATAATATTTCTCGGCTATATTTTCATGCTAACACTAATATATATATATATATATATATATGCATGATTCATAGGTGGAAGAAGTCAAGCGCAAGGAAGCTGCCCCCGTGGTCAAAGGGACGGTGGTCAAAGTGGGCGATGACTGGGTACGATCCTGTCGGACTTATGGATTTCGAACGCCTTTCATATAGTTAGGTGGCTGACTGGTGTGGTCATGTCAGGTTGCGTACGATGGATTGGTGGACGTGCCGGTGGCGCCCGTGCTTCCGACCACTAGTGGAGGGAACGGAGTGGGCAAGTACTTGAACATCCCCGTGCCCCCCAAGAAGGACAAGAAGGCTGCTGTCGTGTCGGACGTCCCTTCGGCCGCCAAGAAGGCCAAGGCGGTGCCCGTGAAGTCGACCTTTTCAAATTTTGACAACTGGTAGCTAGCTACGTGAACAGAGCTGGCTTATGGACCATCTACTAGTAGTTACAGGACCAAGGATCGTATACATATGGCAACTTAGTACTAAGCTCACTGTGGTTCTGCCGAATATTGGGTAAAACTTTAGCGAGTCATTGGGTCGTTAATCACACTAAATATTGGTAATTAATTCGATTTCAAATTGGACTGGGGCTGTCCATCGAATCGACAAAGCAAAATGGACGACGGACCGAAGTAGCCAATGACATTTTCGAATAAAAATCTTTCGACCAATCAAATTGCAGGTGGGTGTATTCGGCCATTTCACAAAGAGTTCAACATTGCATCAGACAAACAGTGAGTATATTTAGTTCAAGTAAAATGACATCTCGACGATTTCAGGTGGATTTGACGAATCGACCGAAAATACCAAATTTAACTTGAAAGCAGCACAACAACATGAACTGGAATTAGTGAAATGTCTAAAAATAGCGTAGGACAATACATTCCGGATAAAGAGGATCTATTCGGATAAGAGAGAGTTCGGTTGTAAAGTGAAAACGAGAACGGAGCGACGCAGGGCATGAACAGCTCGACTGCGATGGACGCGATCGGCGCCGTGAAGAGCTACATCGACAAGATATTAGGCGACAGTCAGCTGGAAGGGATGAAGGCGCTTCTCCTGGACGCAGAAACGACCAAGATCATCAGTATGGTCGTAAGCCAGAGCCAAATCCTCGAGAAGCAGGTGTTCCTGGTCGAGCAACTGGGGGCAAACGCGCACGAGAAGATGGTTCACTTGAAGGCGGCCGTGCTGATACGACCGACGTTGCGCAACATGGAGCTGCTCAAGGCGGAGCTAAAATCGCCCAAGTACGGCGAGTACCACATCTTCTTTACAAACATCACGTCGAACGACATCCTGGAACGACTCGCCGAGGCCGACGAGCACGAAGTGGTGTCTCAAGTGCAAGAGTTTTACGTGGACTTTATGGCCGTGAACGATAACTTGTTCCATTTCAACGTGAATGGCGCGGTAGGATTGAGTTTGAAGGCCACGAGCTTGGTCAACTTGGCGCCGCGGACCGCCGCCGTGTACCAGCGCAACGTGGACGGGTTGACGGCGCTGTTGCTATCGATGAAGAAGAAGCCCATCGTCCGGTTCGTCAAGAAGTCGGACGTTGCCGAGAAGCTCGCGCGGGACGTGGCCACGCGCATGCAGCACGAAGACGGGCTGTTTGACTTTCGGCAGCCGTCGGTCCCGCCGGTGCTTCTGATTCTGGACCGCAAGGACGACCCTGTCACGCCGCTACTGAGCCAGTGGACGTACCAGGCGATGGTGCACGAGCTCTTAGGGCTGTTTGAGAACCGCGTAAACTTGGAGAACGCGCCGGGTATCCGCGACGACATGAAGCAGGTGGTGCTGAGCGTCACGTCGGACGCGTTCTTTGCCCAGCACATGCACGCCAACTTTGGCGAGATCTGCTTGGCTGTTAAGGGGCTGGTGGACCAGTACAAGGTGGCCACCAAGCAGAACGAAAGCATCGAGAGCATCGAAGACATGCAGCGGTTCGTGGACAAGTACGCCGAGTTCCGCGCGCAGTCGGTGACCGTGTCCAAGCATGTGGCGCTCATGGGAGAGCTCAACCGACTCATTGAAGTGCACGGGCTGATGGACCTGAGCACGCTGGAGCAGGACATTGCATGCAACGACGACAGTTCGACTCACTGGCGAGAGCTCGCGATACGTTTGCGCAAGGCGTCGATTCGACCGGCCAACAAAGTTCGACTGGCGCTGCTGTACGCACTGCGGTACGAGTCCCCGAGCACCCTCAAGAGCCTCAAGGACCTGTGCGCGGAAACCAACGTGCCGTGGGAGCCGATCCAGGCGGCGCTGAGTTACGGGGGGACGGCCGCCCGGTGCGGCGACCTCTTTGGAGACAAGGGCCTCAAAAAGTTTATGAAGGCGGTGACCCTCGTCACCCAGGGCATGCAGGGCGTGAGCTGTGTGCTCACGCAGCACGTGCCCCCCCTAATGAAAACGCTCGACAACTTGTTCAAGGGAACGCTCGACCCCGCCGAGTTTGGCGGCATCCAGTCGACCACGCCACTGCCCAAGAAACTCAAGGACGTGATCGTGTACATCCACGGCGGCGTCACGTTCGAAGAAGCGCTCAAAGTCGCGGAACTCAACGCCAAGCTGGCGTCGCTCGGCCAGCGCGTCATTTTGGGAGGGCCGCAGGTGCACAACTCCGAGAGCTTCTTGAAGGAATTGGTGGACGAAGGAGGCAGTGACCAACGCACGGCGTCCGGGTCAGTGTCCAAGTTTACGTACAATGGCAAGTCGCTTTAAGCGGGATTTACCCTGCGATATATATATATATATTATATATATATGTGCTATATTTGCACGGAGAATATCGGTGTGCTACTGTGTACATTATACTCACACAGTCGGGAAGTCAACATCATCGCGTTTTTCAGCATAACGTTATCTCATAATGGAACGCCATTGTGGGAGTAAGCTCGACGATTTCTTATGCAGTATTTTATGATTAAAAACGCCATATTACATGTCTATTGAAAGCAACGGCTGGAAGGTCCGATGTGAAAGGTCTCCCACAAGGCAGCAGCAGCAGCATTGCGGTAGATAGACAAGAGTATTGAAATGGTACAGTGCATAACCGAGTTACACTTGGAGCTACAAGTGATGGGTCTTGGTCCGGCGGTTGGTCAGGTCGAGGTGGAGGGAGCGGGGCCAATTCTCGAGCACGACCAGGCTCAGCCACGGCAAGCTCTTGACCCCTTCAGCCTCGAACCACTCGTGAAAGGCCTCGCACGACACGGTCGCCGCGTCGTCGGCGTACACGTCCTGGAAGAAGCTGACTGTTTCCTCGGCGCCCAAAGCGGCGGACGCGTGTACCCTGTGGGCAGCCGCGTCCCCCTCGTCGTCTTCTGCTGCGGTCGGATCCAACGACTGGCTGCACGCAAACAGCGCCCTCAAGAAAATCTCGACGCATTGCCGCAGCACTGCCCAAGAAACGACATGCTGGTCCGATTGTCCTTGTTGCTCCGAGAACGAAGCGTTCGGCAACGTGTAGTAGCTCAGCAACGCCGTGCCGTGGACCAAAATCTCGAGCAAGTTGCCGTCGGTAAACACCAACAGCCCACACAAGAGGTGCACGAGCGGGACGTAGTCCGACGACGAACGTGCCAACACTGCTACCAAATGGCTGACAAACGAGCCGACGTAGCGGTTGGTGCAGTGCGCATGTGTTGGGCACAGCTGCAGCACACTGCGCTGGCATTGCATCCTGGTGAGCTCTACCTTCACGGTGGGCGACAGGAGGTCGGTTGACGGCGCCTGGCGCTTCTGGACAAACGTCTTGAGCACCGTGATGAGCTGGAGGGGCGAGTACAAGTGCAGCTCAACGTGTGCGAGGCATTCTCTGAGCGCATCCACATGGGTCTGGGTAAACACTAACACCGAGGACGCCACTTTGTACTCGAGCACGACCTGGGGCGATGGTGGTGAACCGGTGACAGGAACAAGAAGCCCCGTGACGTCAGTGTCGTTGGCGCCCCCCCCGTCTTCGGGCAGCGGCGGCGGCGACTGCTGCTGCTCCCACTTAGACACGTCCAAGAGTTCGACCCACGACAGCATCTCATACCCCCCCGAGTTGTACCACTCGCCAAACTGTTCGAACGAAATGCGGTGGCGGCTTTTATGCGCCGCCGTGGAAATCTCATGGAGGAGTTTCGTGGTCACGTCGCCCACCAATTCGTCGGCTTCAATGTACATGAGCTCGATGCCCCGTCGGTACCGCGCGTCGCAGAGCACCATCAGTCCAATCAAAAACGACCGCAGGTACAAAAACAGCATCGCATGCGGGATAGACGGCGACCGGGTCGTCGTGTGCGTCCGCCAATTGGAAGACGTGTGTTGGCTCAACTGGACAATCAACTCGAACGCGGTCGAGAGCTTCTGGGATTTGGAGCCGCGGCCCAGCAGACTCATGCCGCACGCGAGCTCGAGCGCGTTCACTTTGCCTACTTTTTTGCGGTCGTACGCTGAGAACAGCCGCGCCAGCGTCCGCGACGCCACCTGCTGCCCATGGACGTCCACGTTGGTGCGCGGAATGAGTTTGCGGATGCAGCTGTAAAAACTCGACCGCGTCACCACGGCTCCGTCCAAGCTCGCGAGGAAGATGGCGTCGTGGATCACATGCACCGACAACTGGGGGAACTGCGTCGCTTCTAGCACCGCCAAGTACGTGGCAATGTCCTTCTCAGTGTACTGCAGCAGTCCGCCCTCGTTGTGCATGTCGAACGCATACGCGAGCGGCTTCTCCCTCGTCGCCGCCTCCATCGCCCGCTTCGATGGCCATTTCGACAAGTCCAGCAGCTCCAGCCACGGACACATGGCGTACCCTCCATGGGATGTATACCAGTCAGCAAACGTGTCGAGACTCAGGCTGCCTTGGGATTGCGTGTCGCAAAACACTTTGGACACGAGCGCCCCCGCGGCGCGGTCGGCCGCAAACATGTTGGCGCGAACGCTACTGGTGTTGCTGGTCGAGCTGCTGCTGGTGGTGCTGCTAATGGTGCTGCCATCGCCCAGCGAAAATGAAAACAAGACGGACAGAATGCTCCGAAACAGCTCAAACAGCGCTCGACGCGACACGTGGCCGCCGTCCTCGACGAGCGAGAACAACACGCCCAACTTGGTGCTTTTCGATCCGTGGCAAAACACACTCATGCCGGTGATCAAGTGCAATTTATCTACCGCCATCCCGCCGCCGCCATTCTCATTGTCGGCGTCGGCGTCGTTCTCGTCACTCGTGGCGCGCTCGGACTCGTACAACGTGAACATGCGCAGCAAATGGTAGCTCAGAAACTCCTGGTCTTCGCTTGAAAGGGCGCCTTTCGGTGCCAACCCGCGAATCGCATGCAAAAACCCCGACTTGGTCAGCGATTTGCCCTTGGCGAACCGGTCAAAACAGGCGTACAGCGCGTCCACACCGATCGATTTCAGCCGCAACTTTTCTGCAATCGTGTACACCACGGCTACGTCGCGAAGGCGGATGCGCAGCGTCGTGTCGTCGTACGACGTCAGTTTAAACTCAAACACAACCGACGACGACGACAATGACGTCGTGGGAGGAGGGGCCACGGCGGCCGTCGATGTCGACGCGCTCATGACACTTTCAAACGACTCGTTCGAAGCGAAAGACATGACAGTCTCGTGTTCGGCTTGATGGACGACGACAAGCGCGGCGCGGCGGGGCTCGGAGGAGGGCGCTGTCTGCACGGCCAATTGGATGGTCGGGTCGACCATTGGCCACTTTTTCGTGTCGAGTAGTTCGATCCACGGGATGAGCTGGAACCCGTGGTGCGAGTACCACTGGGCAAACGTTTCAAAGGACACTTTCAAAACGGGATTTGAATCGTTGGTCGCTGGCCCGGTGCCACTCGTCAATGTCGTCGGGGGGTCGTCAAATAGGGACCGCACGATGCCAATGCACGCCGAGTCGCACACGGCGCCGATGGTTTCCGCGCAGCTGTCGGCGCCATTGCCCAATGCGAGCAACATGGTCAGAAACGACCGGAGGAATTTCCACATGTCCCGGCGCGTGAGGCACCCGTCGCCGTCTTCGTCAAACAAGCCGAAGCAAAACGACAGCTTGTCGCTTTTCGAACCGGCGCAGAGCACGACGAACCCCGAGACGAACTCGGTGGCGTCAATCTCGCCCGTGCCCGTCCGGTTGTACGCAAAGAAGAGCGCTTCCAGCATGTCCAGGGCTTCTTGTCGTGTTTGGTCGTCGTCGGGATGAGACATGTGATGCTGGTCGTCGTCGTGTCGTGCCAATTCGTTCGAGCGCAGCTGCACGTGATTTGGCGGCGGTGATGTCGACGTGACTGATGTTGGTACACGGAGACCCGCCAAGAGTTGGCCCACACACAAGTCAAAATCGGACTTGTCCAGCGACGGGTGCCTCCTTCCCCCCCCCCTTCCCCCCCCTCCTTCTTCTTCTCCTTCTTTGCTAAAGTACGACTCAAACATGCAAAATGCCGCCCGGAAGTCCACGTCGTGCAGCGCCGTACAGTGCTGCAGACGCATGTAACGCAGCAAGTCGCCATTATCAAAGCAGAGGCTGTCGAGGGGGGCCGGAACGTCGTCGACGGCATCGGTGTCGTTGGACGTCGTTTGCAACGGCAATTCAAACTCGAGCACGACTTCGTTCTTGAAACACACGGGTGGAATCGAGTCCAACTGACATGTACTTGTAGCATACCGTTGTCGAGATCTCGTACCCGACACAGTACCGTTATCATCTTCGTTGTGACTGGCAAACGTAAGCGATGCATCGTCCGAGTCGACTTGTCGATCGTCATAGGGCGTCGCGCGAATGTTCTTGGCCGTGTAGTACGCCGACGCCGACACGGCCGGCTGTTGATGCTGCTCGTCGGCAAAATGCGAAAACCCAGGCCAGACAAACGACCACTTTTTCAAGTCGAGCAGCTCGAGCCAACTCATGGTGTGGAACCCGCCGTCGTTGTACCAATGTCCAAACTCGTCAAACGAGTACGTGGCGTCGTCCACGTGCTGCATGATCTCGACGGCGGCGGCGTCGATCTCGTCCAGCACGCTGCTGCTGCTCGACAATGTCGGCGGCACGAGTCCGACCATGATGACAAGCGACGACCGGAGGAACCGCCACAGCTGGTCGCGGGTAAGCGTTCCCGTGTCGTCCGTGTCAAAGAAATGAAACCCCGCGGCCAGCTTGTCGCTCTTGGAGCCGGCGCAGAAGAGCGCAAACCCCGCCGCCAGCTCGAATGCGTCCACGGTCCGAGTCTGAAAATGCCGAAACAGCATGCGCATGCTCGCCGTGAACTTGTCGTCGTCTACGAGGTGGTTGGTGCACGCCATGCACGTGAGCTCGTTCAATGCGTCGTCAAACGTGGCCTCGTCCAGCCGCCCGTCGATCGTGTGCTGGAGAAATGTGTCGTACATGGCCTGGGGCTGCAGCACCGTGAACCGCGACGCCAGCAGCAGCTCCTCCAGCTCCATGGCGTGGGCCGGCCCAATCTGCAGCGACTGGCTTTCGTGCGCCAGCGGAAACAGCAGGACGGACGACGCCTGGGACGGATCCGTCGAGCGGGGCATGGACGAGTGGATCATGGACGCGGCAGCTTCCTGGTGCCGCCAATACGACATGTCCAGGAGCTTGAGGTACGGAGCGTGCTCGCTTCCCATGAGAAGGTACCAGTCCCACACATGGTCAAACGTCAGGGTCGGATCGTGGTCGGTGAGTTCCACCACCGTTTGCGCGGCGCTGAACTGCAGCACTTCCACGATGGAATGAACATTGCTGTCGTCTTTGTTGTTGACGAGAGCGCCGCTGGCGAAGAGACATGTCAGACCCAGCAGCACGTTGGTGAAGCAGCGCACGACTGCCCCTTCCGTGAGAATGGGAAAGGCGTCGTCGTCCAACGACAGTTCCAGCGCCAGTCGAAGCTTGTCCTCCACGGATCCATCAAGCAGGACAAGTAACCCCACCGAAAGATCGAGCATGTCGACGCTGTACGGGGCGAACGTGTGATACAACAAGTCGACCATCGATCGTGTCGACTGAAACGCCGTGTCGGTCTGAATGCCACTGCAATGTCGGATCCACGCCACAAACTCGTCTTCTTCCAACAACGCGCCCGCTTTGATGTCTTCCTTTATCCTGTCGAGCGTGCATGCTTTCCGCACTGTCATGCACACGTCAACGACTGTTGAGCACTCGAGAAAGGTACGTACATGCAATCGTAGTGGTCTGAATCTCCTTCGCCAGCGACGGCTCCACGACAAATCTCACTGCATTCTTCACATATGGGACTTCTATTGTCAACGCCTCCATCCCTCACACACCAGTACCCTTGGACCTTGCCGTTCTCGCGACGGCGAATATGCGATATCAAAAAGATCTGGGGACGTGTCGACATTGATTGGTTCAAATGTTTGAGTATTTTACCCAATCCTGACGGCCTATTAATTATTTTCCTTACATCTGTACCCAATGCGACATTCTGCACCCACTATACTACTCGAGTATCGCTAGAGTAGTACTACGTAGTAGACATTTTGGATTTTCCTTCGAAGTATACAATTTTCAAATAAGACGGACGGTCAGCTTGGTAGTATTACTAGGAAGGTACTACGGCGTATCGCATTTATACTCCACCGTATCAGATTACGATTCACAATGACAAAGCGCAACCACTGCACTTGATACGGCAAATAGGTCAACGCGAAATTGCACTTCAATTCCATGGAAGGCGAGAGACGACGTTTCCCCGTCGGTCATTTGACAATTTCGTGTTCATCGCGTAACTACTACTGTACAACGTCATGACGACAGAGAAGCAGCGCCTGCTGGCATTGACCGAGCGCGCGTCGTACACGCTGTCAGACGAAAGAATCGCCAAGTCCCCGACGGCGTTGGAAGACGGCGCGTTGGTCGATGGGGGGGCGCTACCCCTCTTGTCCCGTGAAGCCATGGGGCTGTTTTCGCAGTACTTTGCGATCGGGATCGTCTATGGCATGATCCCAGCACTCAAGTACCCTCTCTTCAACGTGTATTTGTCGATGGAACCGTACCAAGTGTCGTCTTATGGAGTCATGGTGACGCTTGGGTGGTCATACAAGGTGCTCTTCGGCATGCTCTCGGACTGTTGTCCTATCTTTGGCTACCGCCGAAAGTCGTGGATGCTCATCGGGTGGGTCACGACCATGATCTGCCTGACCATCATGGCGTTCTCGACATGGGGCGACCCGTATTGCAACCGCGACACGACCGACTCGTGCGATAAACCCCTCAGCGCCGTCAACGCGACGGACTTTGCGGCCAACTACAACCCCCGCGCCCCCGACAACGGATCCGCGTTCATCATCCTGTCCATGTTTGTCTCGTTCGGGTATGTCACGGCGGCGTGTGCGGCGGACGCGATGGTCGTCCAGTACGCCCAGCGCGAGCCCCTTTCGATCCGCGGGCGCGTACAGACGGCCATCTACACCATCCGCAACATCGCGGGCATGCTGGCGCTGTCCGTGACCGCGTTCGGGTTGAACGGTACCCAGTACAACGGGTCGTTCTCGTTCTCGATGGCACCGAATATTCCGTATGCGATCTGCCTGATTCCGTGCGTATTGGCGGTGCTCACGACTGTCTTTGTTGTGGTCGAAGACAAACACATCGGCATCAGCTTCTCGGCGTGGTGGGGCTCGTTCTGGGAACTGCTGCAGACCCGCGTGATGTGGCAGATTTGTGCATTCCGGTTCATCAACAGCATGTTCTTTAGCATTGCCACGACGGCGGACAACGGCATGGCCACGCACTGGGCCAAAGTCGAGCCCGTGAACGACTCGCTCGCGAGTTTGATCGGGAAGGCCATCTTCGCATCCACACTCACCGCCATGGGCAAGTGGGGGTTGCGCTGGAATTGGCGGTACCTCATCGCCCTCGGTTCGGTCGGTATGGTCGTTGTCGATGGCATCGTGAACTTTGTGACCATCTGGGATGTCGTGCGCAACCAGTGGTTCTACACGGGCTTGGCGCTGGTTAACAACGTCCCAGATGGCATCCGGTTCATCGTGGGCATGTACTGCACCGTGGAAGTGGCTGACGTGGGCACAGAAGGCGCCACGTACGGACTCATCACGACCATGGGTAACCTCGCGGGGCCGTTCGCGTCGGTTGTGTACAAATACGTCAACTCGTACTTTTTGCTGTCGAACGACGACTTTAAGAAGGACACGACGGCCGTGAGGTGGGACGTCACGTACGTGTACCTGATCTCGTTTGGGTGCAAACTGTTTTCGCTTGTGTTTCTGGTGATGCTGCCGCCGCAAAAGTCGGAAATGCAGCAACTGAAACGGAAGGGCGGCAAGAGCAAGGTCGCAGGTGTGCTGTTGATTGTGACCTTCATCACGTGCTTGGCGTTCTCCATGGCCAGCAGCGTCATGTCCATCTATCCCACGACCAAGTGCTATCGCCTTGCAGGTGGCAACGGCAAACTGGACCTTGCAACCGGCGGCTGCCCCAACTCTTAGCAAGGACTGCTTCAATTTATTTTATATTAGTATAACGTCACCATAGATATTACCACTCGTAAACCTGATAACCACCTGATCGATAGGTAGAGTAGCATAGCTGGAAAACACTACTCCCTGTCTCGTAGTAGTACAGTAGTACTGTAGTAGTACTAGCCAAACCTGGTTCGGCTAATACAGTACTATTAGTATCTCTCTATAATCCCTTATTTCGCAAGGTTGTTGTGTCTGCAGTACAACTGTTGACCAAGGACTGGGTAGCTTGAGACACTCGTTATATTTAGGCATGTTACGCAAAGCCTTTCTTGGACTTGGACGACCGGCGCTTCTTGAGCATTTCCTTCTGCCTATGTACCATCCATCCACGTGTCAGGATACAAGTTTTACATGAGAACGAACGACTGTACTTACTGTTCCATGTCATCGTGGATGCCATTGGCCGATCGAAAAGCCACGTTGGCCATCTTTTCATAGGCAAGTTGCAGGTCGTGGATTCCCGCTTCCACGACGTGATGCTCCAAGAACGCCCCACAGAACTGACCCACAATTATCAAACCATGTCAATCGAGAGTACGTGCACACGTACTTGCTTGAATGACACGGACGTGTACACACACACTTCGAGCAACGACATGGGCGGCATGAAGAACCTAGCATCACATCAAACGTGATTGAAGCTACAAAGCAATCTCGATCGGTGGCACAACGAACTGCTCGGACGTCGACGTGTGCGCCGCTTGCAACTGGAGCACGATTTTCTCTCCGAATTTGGCTGCGATGACGCTGCTTCGCCGCCGGTCGGACGTTTGAATCTCCGTGAGGACCGAGTCCAGCGCCTTCTTGGTGTCGCCCTGGAGCACTTGACCGTAAATGTCGTGGGTGTACCGGAGGAATTCTACTCACGATGAGATACTATATACGTGGTGAAATGATCTGTCGGGTACCGTTGTACACAAAACACGCTTTGAAGCATGTGAAGAGACGCCGAAAGTGGATCTTGGGTCCGCGGGTAATGTCAATGTGCGCCGTGGCCTGACTCATTACGTGGCGAGGAAACCCAGGGCAACGCAAGGCTAAGAGCTGGTGCATGTCTTCGACTGTCAGTTCTGCAATGCAAGGTTAGTACAGAGACCAAGTGAGACCATCCCTGCCTGTGTTGTCGTCCACACTGGAAAAGTTTTGCTCCAAGTACGAGATGAACGCCACCCGATTGCGCACGTTGGCATTGACGAATTCAAACTTTCGACCTTCGACATGGGACTGCATCACGACGCTGGAGCGTACTTGCATTAGCTTTGTGGGAACGAACTCGTGTTACCTGGAAAAGTACCGCTCAAAGGACCGCACGGCGTTGTCGGACCTGTCTAAAACGAGCTGCTTGATCGCGTCCTCGGCAAAGAGTTTCACACCGGTCCGCTCGAGGTACTCGTCGCTCGACAGGGACTCCAAGGGCTTATGCCGATGGACCAAGAGTGAATTTCGCGCTGTCTTCCTTGCGTAGAATATGCTCATGGCATTGCCTTCGGCGTGCGACCCCATCCTGGCGACGTTTTGGGTTGGCAGATCCAAACTCTTTTCGACACGTGTTACCATTGGCTGAATTCCACCCAATCAAAGGCGCTACTTCAATGACGGCAGCAGAAATACGCAATAATGCAACTCCATCTGATTGGTTACGGAGAGACGCCGAACGAGCCAATCACGTCTCGATTCAACCACTAGAACATAAACGTGGCACACAATTTCCCTGAGAATATCCCTGGTCGGGTGGTTGTGGCGGTACCTCTTCATGATTTCACAGTGGCTGTACGACGACGAATGAATTTAAAGTTGTACTGACGACATAACGCCCAAGTTGAAGCGAAGGCCCTCGATTCTAAGGCAATGAAAAATGCAGTACACTTTGCTCTGGTCCACAGTACAGTGTACCAATGCAACCATCGAAACACAGCCTTGACAACAGCCTTTACAGCCTTTCCATCTCGACCAACACGATCAGATACAGCCAGGTGGTCGTGACATTCTCTTCTTCTCTCCTGTCTATTGACGGTAAAGAAGCAAACATTATCTCACCTCACGTTCTTGACGCCCCATCGTGCCTGTTCACGCCCCCCCTCATGATTTATGATACTCCAAGCTTCTACTAGGTCAACAATCCCCCCATACAAGGTGGTACTTCCTTCGTATGTTGGTTTGAGAAAACACTTCCGAAGTCGCGCTTGCTGCTTGCGTCGTGCGAGTCAAATCCACCGATGGGGAGCAAAGTGGTGGGGAAACTGCCTTAGATTGACTGGCAATATGTAAACAACCGCAACCCCACTAACCCAAGGTAATCAAATGGGACACGACGACGACGACCAACTCGTCATGATATTTGCTACAAGAATAGGTTTAAAGACATATATGCAACTCCATATCTGTAAACCTTGTGACCAAATATCATGTTTATTTAATCCTCTCTTTACTATACTTGAACGTTCATCCTGATTTGAACTTTGGGCACACCTCGTCATACTACAAACGAATGACGAAATCTCGCGGCAACCCTATGCGCAACCATGACGTCATGTTGGGGATTTTGGCCAAATTTGTCCGGATACGGGTGTTTCCCTGCGCCTTTATCTCGCGATTTGTATGTCCATGGTATCCGGAAAATCCAAGGGTTTTCCCCACAGGGTTTCATTCTCAAAAAAGCGCGATGGTCGACGAGCAACATCATCCGTCCCTGCGGAAAGCCCGCGCGGACTCCCGTCTGCACAATTACACCACGATGGAACATTATGTGGAGGAGATGCAAGGGCGTCGACCGGTGAAGAAGATGCTCATCGCGAACAACGGTATTTCCGCCGTCAAAGCGATCCGATCGATCCGCAAATGGTCGTACGAAATGTTTGCGAACGACCGCATGGTGAAATTCGTGGTCATGGCGACCCCGGAGGACTTGCGCGCGAACGCCGAATACATTCGCATGGCTGAACAAGTTGTGGAAGTTCCAGGCGGATCCAACAACAACAACTACGCGAACGTCCACCTCATCATTGAAATCGCCGAGCGTTTTGAAGTCGACGCCGTGTGGGCTGGCTGGGGCCACGCGTCCGAAAACCCATTGTTGCCTGAAACCTTGGCAAAGACTGCTCGACAGATCCTCTTCGTCGGACCCTCGGGCAAGCCCATGCGTGCGTTGGGGGACAAGATCGGGTCCACGATCATTGCACAAAGCGCCAAAGTGCCGACAATTTCATGGAACGGCGACGGGATCATCGTGGATTACAAGGAACTGCAAGACATCCCCGAGGAAGTCTACAAAGCTGCGTCCATTCGCGACGGCGAACACTGCCTGGAAGAATGCGAACGCATTGGATACCCCGTGATGATCAAAGCCAGTGAAGGCGGCGGGGGCAAAGGGATCCGCAAAGTCACCCGCAAGGAGGACGTTGTCGCTGGGTACACGGCCGTGCAAGGTGAAATTCCAGGGTCGCCGATCTTCGTGATGAAGCTCGCGCCCAAGTCGCGCCACTTGGAAGTGCAATTGCTGGCCGACGAGTACGGTAACGCGATTGCCTTGTCTGGCCGCGACTGTTCTGTGCAGCGCCGCCACCAAAAGATCATCGAAGAAGGACCAGTGTTGGCCCCCACGGAAGAAGTGTGGGACCAAATGATGCTCGCGGCGACGCGGTTGGCCAAGGAGGTGGACTACGCGAACGCGGGGACGGTCGAGTACTTGTTCACGGAACAGCCGGACGAGACTGGCAACAAGTTTTTCTTCCTGGAACTGAACCCTCGTTTGCAAGTGGAACACCCGGTCACGGAAATGATCACGGGCGTCAACCTGCCGGCGTGCCAGCTCCAAGTGTCGATGGGCATCCCATTGCACCTGATTCCCGACGTCCGTCGGTTGTACCAGAAGGACTCGTTCGGGAAGACCCCGATCAACTTTGACACGGAGAAGCAAGCACCGCCGCACGGCCACGTGATTGCCGCCCGCATCACGGCCGAAGACCCGAACGCTGGGTTCCAGCCCACGTCGGGGCAGATCGAAGAGCTCAACTTCCGCAGCACGCCCGACGTGTGGGGGTACTTTTCCGTCGACTCGTCTGGACGCGTGCACGAATTCGCCGACTCCCAGATCGGCCACTTGTTTTCATGGAGCACGTCGCGGGAACGCGCGCGCAAGAATTTGATTTTGGCGCTCAAGGAGCTGAGCATTCGCGGTGAAATCAACACGACCGTCGAGTACCTGGTCAAGATGATGGAGTCGGATGACTTCAAGAACAACCGCATCTCGACGTCGTGGCTCGACGAACGCATCGCGCGCCACAAGGAAGTGTCGGTGCAAGGCCGTCCGGACACGCTCATGGTCGTGCTCGTCGGCGCCATGTGCCTTGCGTACCAAGCGTCCAACACCCGCCAGGAAAAGTACGTGGCGCAACTCGAGCGCGGCCAGATCCCCGGCAACGAGCTCCTGCAGCAAGAAGACGAGCTAGAACTCATCTACGAAGGCATCAAGTACAAGATCCGCGCCGCCCGATCCGGCGAAATCACGTTCACGTTGTACTGCAACGACTCGTACGTGCAAGCCAACATTCGCACGCTGAGCGACGGCGGGTACCTCGTCTTGTTGAACGGAAAGTCCCACGTGGCGTACGCGACCAAGGAAGCCCAGGGCCTCCGCTTGATCGTCGACGGCAACACTTGTGTGTTCACCAACGAATACGACCCTACCCGCCTCGTAACCAACGCCGCCGGTAAGTTGGCGCGCTACCTCGTCAAGGACGGCGCCAAGCTCCGCCGTGGCACGCCGTACGCTGAAGTGGAAGTGATGAAGATGTACATGCCGCTGTTGACCCCCGAAGACGGCATCGTGCGCCACGTCAAGCCCGAAGGATCGGTGTTAGCACCTGGCGACTTGATCGGCAACTTGGAACTGGACGACCCGTCCTGCGTCAAGCTGTCGGACCAATTCCTGGGCAAGTTGCCCGACTTTTCCAACGAGCCAGAGAACGCCAGCACCAAGTCGTTTTACATGATGAAGAAGGCGATTGGGACGCTGACAACTGTCTTGGACGGGTTCAAGCTGCCCGACGACCTGGTCCAGCGCGCCATCAACGACCTCTTCGACTCGGCGCTCAAGGACCCGCTGCTCCCGCTGGACGAAATCAGCGAAACGCTCAGCGCGTTGGCGAGCCGCATGCCTGGCCACGTGTACGACCAGATCCGCGACCACATGCAGGCGTACCGCGACTCGGACAAGTCGGCGCCGTTCGACGTGTCCAAGATCTCGGCGGCCTTAGACGCGTTCAAGGGCACGCTCACGCTGCCGTCCGAAGCCAACGCGTACGAAGGCAAGATCGCGCCGCTGCGTGAAGTCCTCCCCAAGTTTGAAAACGGCTTGGAAACTCGCCGCGAGCGCGTCGTGTATGACTTGATCGCCAAGTACTTTAACGTGGAAAACCCGTACGCCCAAGGCCACAACGTCGAGGACATCGTGATGGCTCTGCGCAAGGACAACGTGGCATCGCTCGCTGCCGTGTTTGGCATCGCCCGCGCCCACGTAGCCATCGACAACCGGTCCAAGTGGCTGCTCGAAGTGCTTCGCCATATCCGCCGCGGCGACAAGAAGGCCATCTCGAGCTACGTGAGCATGTTGGAGGCTATCGCCAACTTCAAGGGTCGCGACTACTCGCTCGTGTCGCTGGAAGCGCGCCACATTCTGGTGGACCGGACCATGCCCAGCTACTCGGACCGGGTCTTGGAGATGGAAACGATCCTCCGCGCGATCGTTAGCGACACGTCCCGGCCGCCGCACGAAACGGAAAAGTTCCAGGAACTGCTCGACCAATCGCAGCCCATCTTTGACTTGCTCATCAGCCACGTCGACCACTCTGACGTGGCGATCCGCCAAGTCGCGCTCAACCTGTACATCCGCCGCGTGTACCGTTCGTACATCATCTCCAAGACCGACGCGACCGCGGCCGACAATGGCATCCTCGGCAAAAAGTTTGAGTTCAAGTCGCCGACCAACGAAGGGCTGTCGGTGCGGTCTGCGACCATGAACAAGGCCGAAAGTTACGATGACCTGGCGTCGCTCCTGAAGAAGGGCAGCGGGTCCTCGGCTAGCTTGACGTCGCTGTCGCGGTCCGACTCGACGGGAAGCGACTCGGACTCCAAGTACTCTGTGGAGAAGATCTCGCCCACGGTGAATCGCCACGGGGTGCTCGTCGCGTTCAACACGTTGGACGGATTGAAAGACAAGTTTGACCAAGTGCTGGAACTCATCCCCAAGCGCAACATGCTCGCCGGGCTCACCAAGGTGCAGTACGTGAATGTGCTGCACGTGATCCTCCTGGATGAAGTCGACAACGAAGACGCGACGCTTGAGAAACTCAACGTGTTCGTGGCGTACCACAAGGAAAAGATGCAAAACCACTTGGTGCGCCGCATCACGTTCAGTGTCAAGCCGCACTTGCGCAACGTCGTGGATGCATCCACGACGTACCACTTGTACCCTGGCATTTACACGTTCCGCCAGTCCACGGGGTACGTGGAGGACGCGATCGTCCGCCACATGGAGGCGCCGTTGGCGTACATGTTGGAGCTGCAACGCCTGGCCAACTACAGCGTCAAGACGGCCGACTCGAAGGACAAGAACGTGCACTTGTACTTCTGCACGCCCAAGAAGAGCGCGCTCGCGGCCGCCCGCGTCGACAAGAAGGAGCACTTCCAGCGCTTCTTTGTGCGTGCGGTGGTCCGCCAACTGGAAAAGCTCGACGTGCAGTCGCAGTTTGACGCACACCCGGGCCCGGAACGCACCCTCGTGGAAGCGTTGAACGCGCTCGAGCTGGCCATGGGCTCGGTCAAGTCGGACCTGCCAATCAAGAACAACCACGTGTTTATGAACGTCGTGCCCGAGGCGGTGGTGGACCCGCACTACTTGGAAGCAGTGATCCGCATCCTTGCCAGCCGGTACGCGGCCCGGTTGGACCAGCTCAAGGTGAGCCAAGTGGAGCTCAAGATCTCGGCCAAGTTCAACGACAACGCGTACAGCATCCCCGTGCGTCTCGTGGCCGCCAACCCCACCGGCTTTGTCCTGCGCGTCGAATCGTATGTTGAAGCGCACGAGATGCGCAACGGCGCCGAAGTCGCCATTTTCTCGAGCATCGGCGACGATGTGGTCGGCGAATGGGACAACACGCCCGTGTCGACGCCGTACCCTGTCTCGTACCCGTTCGACGTCAAGCGCGAAGCCGCCAAGCGGTCGTCCGACACGCTGTACGCGTACGACTTTTTGGAGCTGATTGAAAACGCGTCGGTGCGCAACTGGCGCAAGTTTGCATCGGACCGCGCGTCCAAGGGCGTGGCCACCAAGGTGCCGCACCACTTGGTCGAATCCAAGGAGTTTGTGCTCACCAACGACGACACGGACGTGGAGCTAGTCACGCGCCCCCGCGGCCTCAACGACGTGGGCATGGTCGCGTGGCTCCTCACGCTCTTCACGCCCGAAGTGCCCACTGGTCGGTCAGTGGTGCTCATCTCCAACGACATCACGTACAACGCCGGGTCGTTTGGCACCCGCGAAGACAAGCTGTTCGACTTGGCGTCCAAGTACGCCCGCCAACACAAGCTGCCGCGGCTGTACTTTGCCGCCAACTCTGGCGCGCGCATCGGCATGGCCGAGACCGTCAAGGCCAAGTACCAAGTCGCGTGGAAGGACGCGTCCGACCCGAGCAAGGGCTTTGAGTACTTGTACCTCAACAAATCCGACTACGACTACTTTCACAGCGTCGGCGCCATCGAGTGCGCGCACAAGGTGACGGCTGACGGCGAAGTGCGATATGTGATCACCGACATCATTGGCGAAGAAAAGGACTTGGGCGTGGAAAACCTCCGCGGCAGTGGCACCATTGCCGGCGAGAGCTCACGCGCGTACAACGACATCTTCACCCTGACGTACGTGTGCGGTCGGTCTGTCGGTATCGGCGCGTACTTGGTCCGTCTCGGCCAGCGCACGGTGCAAAACGTTACGAGTGCGCCGATCATCCTCACGGGGTTCCAAGCGCTCAACAAGCTCATGGGCAAGGACGTGTACTCGTCCAACGACCAGCTGGGCGGGATCAAGATCATGCACAACAACGGCGTGACCCACTTGACCGCCAACAACCACCTCCACGGCATTGCGAGCATTCTCAACTGGATCTCGTTCGTTCCCGCCACCCGCGGCGCGCCGCTGCCGATCCGCGACATCACGGGTGTCGACACGATTGACCGGGCCGTCACGTACAAGCCGACCCGCGTCGCGTACGACCCCCGCGAGCTCCTCACGGGCAAAGTCGTGGACGCCACGTGGCAATCTGGGTTCTTCGACAAGGACTCGTTCGTGGAATCGCTCAGCGCATGGGCCAAGACGGTGGTTGTGGGCCGTGGCCGCCTCGGCGGTATCCCCGTCGGGGTCGTCGTGACCGAAGTCCGCACCGTGGAGAAGCTGACGCCGGCAGACCCTGCCTCCCCCACCACGCAAGAACACACGGTCCAACAGGCCGGCCAAGTGTGGTTCCCAGACTCGGCACACAAGACGGCCACCGCCATCCGCGACTTCCAGGGCGAAGACTTGCCCTTGTTCATTTTTGCCAACTGGCGCGGGTTCTCGGGCGGCCAGCGCGACATGTTTGACGAAGTGCTCAAGTTCGGCGCCGAGATCGTCGACGGCCTCGTCAACTACACGCAGCCCGTGTTTGTGTACATCCCGCCGTTCGCAGAGCTGCGCGGCGGCGCGTGGGTCGTGGTGGACCCGACCATCAACTCGGACGTGATGGAAATGTACGCCGACCCGCAAGGCCGCGGCGGCGTGTTGGAACCCGCGGGGTTGATCGAAATCAAGTACCGCAAGCCGGCGTTGTTGGCGTCGGCGCACCGCGTGGACACGGTGCTGCTGCGGTTGGACGCGACGCTCGCGACACTGGCCGCCGACGACGTGACCCGCAGCGACGTGCTTCGTGACATCCGCCTGCGTGAATCCAAGCTCTTGCCCATCTTCACGCAGATCGCGACCCACTTTGGCGACCTCCACGACACCCCTGGCCGCATGAAGGCCAAGGACGTGATCCGCGAAGTCGTGCCGTGGGACCAAGCGCGCACGTACTTCTACTGGCGCCTCAAGCGTCGGTTGAGTGAGTTCCGCGTCCGCCGCTCCATCTTGGAAGCATCCAACGAGGAAATGCACACGACGTTTGCATCGACCGAAGCGACGGTGGCGGCGTGGTACAAGGCCCAACAACCCGCCGGCGACTGGGCCAACGACCAAGCCGTGCTCGCGTGGCTGCACTCAGACGCGGACTTTCTCGCCAAGCGACTCGAGAGCCTCCACCAAGAACGCATCGCCCGCGAAGTCACGCGACTGGGGCTCCAAGACCCCCAGGCGGCGGTCGTCGGCATCTTGCACCTCATCAACCAGTTGCCCGACAGCGCCCGCGAAGACGTCGTCACGGCGCTCCGCCGAGGCAGCATCTTTGCCCGCACGTCGTCCGTGTCGCAATAGAGCATACCAGCAGCCCTGTTAGTGGTTTAGGTAGTACATAGTAGTTGGCTGCGACGACGGGAGTGACCGTTCCTGCGTAGTATGTGTATAATAACTACCTACATATAGATATATTCCTACACATGTTGTTTTGCGCTCAGGTTGTAATAATACATGGCCTAATAATGTGATGGAAAAGCGAACTTGTCAAGCCAAAACGCAAACTCCATTCATTGATGACTGACTACCAGTACAAAAGTGCAATGCTGATTGCATAGCAGCAATGTAATAACTAATCTCAACGATCTTTGCATTGCAGAGTTTGCGACCATCATAACTGTACAGGTGAGTTGGCTCTTTGCTTTGCAATTCGACGCACAAGGGCATGCACAGCGATACCGCACCAGTTGGCTGGAGAAGTAACGATGCTGCCTTGCCACAACACAACAAGACCAGAATTGCTTCACAATCATATATCTCGTTACGCTGACTTTTTAGCTTTCGAATCATCCGTAGTAATGTCGTCCTTGGCACCATGCAGCAACAACCCCATGCCAAACAGAATGACACTGGCGCCGACCCACCATTGTAGCGGCAACTGCTCATGAAAAACAAGGTACCCTACCAACGCCTACAGCTCTGTAACATACAAGACCAGGGCGAGGCATGACGACGTACCGTCACGACGAAATTGGCAGCAGAGCTTGTGATTGTAGCCGTCAAGGAATCGGTCTCATGGAGTCCACGCACAAAGAAGCTTAGCATGACAGCATTCGACAATAGCATGGCCGCAAAGAACGCCACATGCACGACACGCATGGCCCATGCGCAGTCCAGCCATGGATACGCTGCATGTTGATGCTCGTGGCAATATGCCTGAATGGTTTGGATCACGGAAGCATTGTCGTCCGACGAAAGCTTCCCCAGCATCCCCGAGACGGCGGCGATCGTGCCTGAGATGCCACTGCTCCACATTGTGCAATTCGAAAAATGCATTTCCATTGGATATATATTTCATCCTCAACAGCCAATCATAAATGCAAGTGTCCTATTATTGCACTTTTATTGGATAAACGACTTCCATTTAACACCCAATCAACCAGTCGCATTTCTACAAACCAGTTCGCATCAGCATGGAAGGGCTCTTGCTTTCCGTGAAGCACTTCCCGGCTGCGTTATCCGCCCAAGCCATTGAAACATTGCTCAAACATGTTGGTGCGACTCAGATCCGTGTCCTTACCAACAGGACCCAGGTATGTGCTTGATACTACCTCTCGAACGAAGCCGCCTCCAGACGGAAGTCCATAGAAATCGAAAAGCGCGCTGGCATCCTTTCCCGACGAAACCACTCGCATGAGTGCTCTTGGTCGATTGAACAAGATGCGCCTCTCGGACCACGACATTTGCGCTAGTCTCCACAGCAACACCGCTTCGACGCCATCTGAGCACGACGAGACCACCCCAACTGCCCCAACGATGCGATCGCAGCCTGTACCTTCTGCTCCACCGACAACGGCACCAGAAGCCGCGGCTGGTTCAGCGATCTTTCCGCCACTCCCTCGCGAGGATCCACCCACGTATGCATGGGGTCACCCTGCATCGCTGGCACCGCACTTGGGGTACGCATCATTTCGTCGTGCCATTCCAGTACATCAATGCGTCACAAGGTTATGATGTCCACAGATTGCATTTCCCGCCATCTCCCCTTTTGGAATACAAGTACCCCAAGGCAAGTCCTGACGTCGTGCTCAACATTGCCAACGGTATGCCTTTGACATATTATGGACACCAGGACATCACGACGGGCCTCTCTCCCTTCTATTAGCCCTCATAGCCCTGCCAAAGTTCTACACCCAAGTGCTCCATTTGATGAACAAGATGAACCTGCCACCCCCTTTTGAACCGAATTCGATTCCAGGCCCGTTTTTGTCATTCGTCGTGGTAGGTCAATCGAGAGTGATGGTCATACAGAGTGATGTTCATCGCGTCCTTATTTACTTTCCAGAACGACGGCAAGAAGAAGCGCAAGCCCGATGCCACGTTTGTCCAAGAGCACGACGACGACGACATGCCGGTCGGTTCCATGTCGGCAAAACAGCGTCGAGTACTCGACTCTGGACCTCGATCTGTGGCTGCTATCAACCTCCCGCCGCCGCTGCCGCCTACCACGGCCGCATCTCCATCTGTCCATCACCACACGTCCGCCCAAGTTGCTGCCTCCACTGAATTGCCTTCGCTACCCACTCCACCAGTAGTGGTCGCAGCACCTCTCAAGATCCTTCCTCAAAAGCCACGCAAACCAGATTCTGCCTTGGCCACTATCTTTGAAGCCGACACGACGTCCACAGCGACCAAGCTCGTGCCTCGGCCTGGCGTGATTTCCGATGCGGAACTCACCCGCACACGACTCTCGTCCGAAGGTACACACCGTTGTTGTTGGTAGTGCACTTTACATGGCAATGATATACATCGACAGAGCTATCGCAACACAAACACATGCAAACCTACCAACGAAACGAGCCGTCTAATGTTCTGTATGTGAAAAACATCGCCGCGTCCGTCGACATATCCGACTTGACCTACGTCTTTGGCAGCGTGTTCGACTCGGACGACGCCATGTCGTATGTACTTGGGCTACGTGGATGATGCTGCACACGTACCTTGATCATGTCTCTCTCATGCTTGTGACTAGAGCCATGTCCATTCGACTCTTCACAGCCGGAAGACTCAAGGGGCAGGCCTTTGTGGACTTTCCATCCATCGAACTCGCCACGTTGGCCCAGAGTCTCGTGCATGGCGTCGTGCTGGACGAGAAGCCGCTTATTGTGGTATACCCGTCCCTGACTGTCGGATCAACATCTAACGTTTCTTATGTGCCAGTGCTTTCGAAAGCAACCTGCAGCACGACCGACACCACCTACCACCGTCGACGAGTCCGCGCCTTCAAGCGAAGGCCAGCCCGTCCCGACGGGTGACACCAGATGACACACAAGCATGCAACTTTAGTATAGCTTGTGTGCTTCCATTTTGCTGCGGACACACCCATCTGCCGCCGCCACACTTGTCCAACAAATGCTTAGTCGAACTTTTGTTAACTTCGAACCTTTGCGGGCCAAAATGAGACCAAGAATGCGAAGTTCGAAGTCAATTGTGCACATAATTCAGAAAGTGAAACCGTCGTTCGTATTTTCGAATACTTGTTTTGAAATGCATCGATCCACAAGATCCACCACCGCCGCTGCGACCGGAGAGGACTGCGATGGCGTCATGAAAGGCCGCTTTCGCTCCATGCTCATACGCGCGCGCCATCTCTCGTTTCGCTTAAGCTCGCATCATGTGTGTGGTCGCTGCCTTTCGATCGGATGACCCCCCACCTAGATGTGAAACGAAGCGTTACGCTTTTTTATATCGAATAACGAGCTGTTTCAAGCGTTGTGATTGGATATCACACGCCGCCTTGGTTCAGAGACAAAGATCTTGGTCAGACTTAGTCCCTAACTGCTCCACACTGTACATGCACCCTACATCCGTCCACCGCCACCATCGCCGAGGGCACGCCACCTCTACACCAACCACTGACAATGCGAGTCCAACGTCGTCGATCGAGGACCTGCAGCTGCTGCAGCGGGCAGCACGAAAAGGTCGACACGACTTGGTGGCGTCCTTGATCATGAACGGAGCCGACATCAATGCGACCGACTCGAACGGACACACGGCCGCCCACCAGGCCGCTCGAAATGGGCGCGTGCAGGTACTGGAGGTGCTACATGCCCTTGGAGCGGACTTGAACAAGTGCAGTCTGCGAGGCGTGAGCATTGCACACCAGGCAGCATTCGGCGGCCATCTCGTCTTCCTGAAGCGGCTCATGGACTTTGATGTTCGCGTGGATCTTGTGGATGCCAGTGACTTGACGCCTCTCGAAGTCGCGATGCGGGAAAAACAGTGGCATGTGGTGGAATTCCTCGAGTGCATCTACAGCCGGTTGGAACTACTTCCCCAACCAGCAGCAGTTGCCTCTACTCTAGACCAGGAGCTTATGACCATGCTGGGCGCCGCCCCGCTAGAGTTTCCATCCAGTCCTTCAGCAGTGCATCATGACTCCCACGACGACAGCAACAACGAGGCGGAGCAGGACGACCTCCATCGGCACTGCTCCGCCGACGAGATGCACACGTCCAGCTTACGTTTGCATTCTCTCTTGTCGTTTAGCCAAGATGGCGACGTCGAAGAGAAGTCTACATCCCCTCACGCAACGTACGGAAGGCGGAAGCGCAGCGCGACCGCGGCAGCGCTGGATGATGACGCCTTCCCCACCACCCCCGTGCACGAGCCGCCGTCGTCCACGGATGTCGATGTTTCCTGGCCCCATCATCCCCGATCATCGTACTCGTCCCACATGATGTCACTGCCTCCCATTGCGTCGCCGTCGTCGTGGAAGACCATGCCGCTGAACCCCACGCGATCGAACGCTGTCTCTTGGCGAGGAAGTAAGCATGACTCGCGCTCCCCAGAGACAGAAAGCGGCGATACCAGTGAAGACCAACCTGTCGACAACAACGAAGAGCCCATCGTACCGGGGCTTGTGACTGTGTACCATTTGCTGTACGATATGTAATGAAACCTCGTTTACCATAGTTTTGTGAAGTCTAACCTCCTTTCCAAGGTCATTTAAAGATCTAACGTCATTACTCCGGAGTAATCATCAAAGTGTGTGACGACGGTGTCGCAGTCTTTACGACGACACGTCGATGTGTTGTGCTTTGGCCAGCACGTTCCGGGCAAGTTCGACGTGTAAATTCTCTAAGCCACAGGAGATGATATGTCAGCATGACGTTGTTTGTGGATGGACAACAAAATCCTGATATGTCAGAATGACAAGTGTGTGGAAATGATATATACTATCCGTACCCACGAGTTTGCCCTTGTACAGCGCGACGCCACTGCCTTTCTCCACAGCATCTTGAAAGGCACGAATGATCGCATGTGCATCTTGCACTTCCTCGGGCGATGGCGAAAACGCCGCGTTCGTCGGCAAGATCGTCTACAACATGTGTCACCTGTACTGGTCGACATATATCACATTGTGTGTAACGTGATGCACACAATCATGTACATATGTACTTTGGGATGGATCAGCGTTTTGCCGTCGAACCCGAGCTCTTTGCCTTGAGCCAACTGCCACGCAAAGTCCGTGTCGTTGTCCAAGTCCAAGTGCACGCCGTCCAGTGCAGTCAAGCCATGCGCTCGGGCTGCCAAGACGATCCACGCCAGACTCGGCACCAACGCATGGCGACATGGCGTCGTGGCGCATTGGAGTTCCTACCAGCAGCATACAGTTTGCATATATTAGTACGTTCCTGGAAGGTTCCGTGATGGATCATTGAGCATGAGGTAGGAAAACAGTGCACTATTGCACGAGCAGTAGTACCTTGCTCAAGTCCGACGTGCCGGCAACCAGACACGACAGACGCGGATGGGCGGTCGCAAGGATTGTCGACAGGTTGAGCACCCCCAGCGGGGTCTCGATCATGGCCCAGATGGACATGTGGTGTGGCGCGTTAAGGGAGTCCATGATGGATGCCACTTCCTGCAATGTGTTGGCGGAGTCCACCTTCGGAATCACCACGGCATGCGCTCCTGGTGGATGGATCAGAGGAAGTCATGAACAATGACGACATGTCAACGCGAATATACCAGAGGACACGACTTGTGCCAGGTCGTCGCGACCCCAGTCGGTGGACAGGGAGTTGATGCGGATAGCAATCTCTTTGTGGTCGCCAAAACCCTTGCGCGCGGCCTCGCACGCCAGGGCCCTCGCTTCAGCCTTCTTGAACGGCGACACGGCGTCTTCCAAGTCCAGGATAGCGGCATCGCAAGGGAGACCATATAGTTTATCCAATGCTCGCTGATTGATACCTAATATGATTAGCCTTATGCAGTCCATTGAGTTGGAGGTTACCTGGGACGTACAAGACACTTCGGCGGAGGCCAACACGGCCGGCGGTGTGGTGCAACATGGTTTCAACTGGAAGTGATGCTCTTGATTGGACAAAATAGTTCCAATGGCATCAGCTGATTGGAGCTAGAGTTTCTGTGAACTTCAACTCCTCATCATAATCCCAAAGCATCGAACCTCCATCGCGCAGCTACATGGAACCCTGCCATACAGTCAGTAGACTTAGGGCTTTTAGTTGGTTATGATGATGCCATTGCAGTGCTAACATCTCCTTGGCGACGGCGTTGGACGTTGAATCATGATACACGCCATGTGTCAGGCACATCATGGTACTGTAGCTAGCCCCTGCTTCCGTACAAAACGACTCTCCATGGGATGTGATTGTCTTCTCGGTGGGGGACGTTGCCAAGGCCATTGGTACTTTTGCTTGGACAAAGTGAGCTGACAACATACATCCCATCGCCACCTCGTCAGTCGACGACGAGCCGCCTCTATGAACGTCGCCATCCAACGAGACCCTCAGGTCACGACGCCCTTTGGCCTAGTTAAGGCCGGTACACCGACATCAATGAGTTCTCGGACAAACCAACCTCGACGGCGATTTCGGTTGTCGCGAATGGGATGGACCACACGATGGCGGCGGTGTACCATAACGTTATTGTCCTTTTACCCAAAATTTGGACGTTTGTGTGAATCGCTAAATCGATCGATCGATTCTTTGTACTGAAATTTGTATATCAAAAGGTGTCCTGAGGTGATTAGCAACACACTAATTGGAGCCACACACTAATTTAACGTTGAGGATGGTTTCCTACTATCTGATTGGCTCAATACATTGATTTGGTTGTGTCGATTTATTTTCCATATCGCTCCAGTTTAGAATAAACAATAACACTAAGTAAATAAACAAGTTGACGGACGATCATCTTTTTCCATAAACATGCGTGTATACGTGACGTGGCACTCCACAGACACACAAATTATTAGGACATTTCAAAGCTGTTATAATACGGACGATGCAATCAAATCCAATCGTGTTCTTTCTTATGAACGCGATTAAGCCGTGGCCATCGCGACTTGCTTTTCGATCTTCTTGCGGATCGCATCCGTCTTGGACGACGTGTCCCGAGGCCGCACCGCCTACGCACAATCCAGCGCATGGTGAATAATAGCAGTCCATACCACTATACATACACTGCAAAAAAAAAAAAGAAATATATACACATATATACAAAATACGAACAATATATATATATATAATATATATTTGCCGAATACGTACCAAGTAGAGCGTGGTCAAGAGCACAATGACGAGAATCGCGTACAAAAACACGTTGTGGACCCAGAACGCGGAAAAGCCCTTCATATAGCGCAGCTGGATGCCCATCATCGCTACAAATAAAAATATAAATATGTTGAAAATCTAGATTGAGAGAAATAAATATATACTTTGAATCGTCGTGAGGCGGACATAGTCGCTGAAGGCTTGGTTGCTGAACTGGACCACAGGGATGCAGCACAGCAAGATCAACCTACGACGATCATATAAATATAAATATAAATATATTCCTCACATTCCCCTTTGACACCACAATCTATTTTTAATACAAGTGATGTGCAATTTTCGGGTTGTAGTAGGTGAGCACTACACTTACGCCAAATTGAACAGGAACGAGTTCATGTACGTGCCGTTGTACTCCATCGGGTGCAGCTACACACACACATCAGCCACGTCATTTCCGAATCAGATGGCGGCATCAAAATCGTACCGCACAGCAAAAGCACCGCATGCCAAACTTGAAGCAGCCCTTGATGCACGCCATGAGCAAGTACATGGAGAAAATACCCACGGACATGGTGCCAAAGAGCGGGAACCACTGGTCAAACCAGATAAAGTAGTCGTTCAGAAACGGCAGGATCGGGATCGGCGGCACCATCCCCAAGATGATCTGCAGCAGCCACAGAAAGCTCACAATCGACGCGACGAAGCCCAGGACGAGCTTGCCCAGCGGCACCAGCGGGTTGTAGTTTTTGTAATCTTCGTGGCACAGCTTGAGCTCGGCCACGTCTTTTTCGAGTAAGTACACGGCCTACGCATCATTATAAGACCAACTACAACAACTAGAACAACTAACGCACCTGTTTGAACTTGTTCATGGTGATCGTGTCGAGCTTGCCGTTCTTGCGGCGTTCGCGCGCCGACAACTTGGTGTCTGGATGCGACTACAAAGATATATATTATATACTTATATATATACTTATATATATATATTATATACTTATATATATATTATATACTTATATATATATTATATACTTATATATATATTATATACTTATATATATATATTATATACTTATATATATATATTATATACTTATATATATATATTATATACTTATATATATACATTCCATACTACTTTGAGGTAGTAATAATGAATATTGAAATCGAATTACTAAAATCACGCGATAATAATATATGAGACTTCATAAAAAAGAGAGAGTTGGTTACGTACAAGCATGGACGATTTGATCTCCTTGCCGACTTCCATCAACTCCAACGACCGGATCTGCACGAGCATCTTTTGCTGGGCGTAAACGTCGGCGGGGATGAACTTGGGGCGAAAAAAGAACGCCCTACGGACGTTCGTAATATATTCAAAAACATAAAAATATTTTTATTAAATATACAAAACGTACAGGATCAAGTCGAGTGGCAGCGCGACGAGCCCGATGCCGACAAAGATGGAGAAGGCAAACCAACCCACGAAACTCACGAGCGCCGTGATGTAGATGGGCACGGACACGTCCAGCCGCATGCTCGTTTGCAGCGGGTTGAGTCCCTTGGCCATGGCGTACACGCGCTCGTTGGGGCTGATGATCGCGCCGTCTAAGGACTCCCCCATCAAATCACCGCAAACTCAAGCGCTGGTGTTTAGAAAGGTCGTTGACAAACCCAGTGTTAGCATCCATGTAACACAGTCGAATGGCAACTGGTGGTTTGATAGAAGTAAACGAAGCAGAAGAAGAATCGATGACGCATAAAGCCAGAGTGAATACTAGATGTCATGGACACACCTGTAAAGCTGTGCAAGCCACCGACGGCGTCGGCGATGTGGATCGTGTCGTTGCCGACCGTCGAGTTGTATACGAGGACGTTGTACGGGATGTCGGACGTGGAGGACGTGATGTACGTGATGGCCACGATGATGCCCACGACCACCACAGTCGCAATCTCGAGCTTGAGCGCGTCCAGCCAGCGGTGGGTCTTCTTGGCCGAGCTGTCGTCAAACCCGTCGTCGGACTCGTAAAAGTAGATCGAATACGGCAGCAGCACGACGAGGAACACGGCGATGGACATGAACACGATCAACCACAGCGTCTCCATGTCGAGATTTCCGCATGCTGCATTCCACCCGGCCGTGCACCCGATGGCTGTCGAGTTGTTGGCCTAACGTTCCACATCAACATATGAGGCATGAGATGGACGGGAGACGTTGGTTGTTGGGCGTACCACGTCCAACGGTAAGAGAAGCACGCACGCTTCCGCGAGAAGGAACCCAATCACCTAATGGAGGACATGGGCGACATGGCACGATGAAGGTAACACGGGCTCTCGACACTTACCACGAGGACCTTTGGCATGTACGCCGTGTTCTTGTCATCCGGGTGCTGGAAGTAGACCAAGATGTAGAAGTTGGCGGCGAGGAAGACCACCGCCATGATCACAACCACCACGACGAGGAACCAGTTCATCATCGTTGCTGATGTCCAATTCCGGCGATGGCGAAATGACAAGCACGCCGACTGTGGGTTCACACACGGCGAATAAAAATCAGAATAGATTACTTGATGTTTGTATGACTCTATTCGTTTATACAATAAAACTGTGATCCAAGTTAAAAGTGTGTTCTTGGCGGTTACAGATCTAAATTCGAATGTGAAACGGCCACAATTACCCACTTTTTTCCGTGTACGAATGTATATATACCGGTATTAATATATCAAATAAAATAATATTATGGAATTATTTCGACATCATCATGTTCACATATTCCTCGTAATTGATCAACCCATTCGAGTCTGGCTCCAGCTACAGTGCATCAATCATCCTTTAGCACAGGTCGTTGGGTGTCGAACATTCATAGCACGTACCTGGCTAATGAGTTCGCTGGCTTGCTCCGCCGAGAGCTTGTCGGTGCCGTACAGGGTAAGCGCGCGATGTAATCGATCTACTTTGATGAACCCGGGAGTCGTGGGGTTCTCAAACATCTACGAGACATCATGTCATGGCTGAGGTTGTAACTGCATGGATCTACTCGAAACGACGCTTTCACTTGGTCGGCGCTGTACGTGGCGTTCACTTTCCGACTCATCACGGCCACGAATTCTATCAATGGTTTAGAAGGTTGTCGTGGGATCGTGAAAGCTAGTACTGGAGTCATGCCATGTATGCACGGACTCACCGTCAAAATCGATTTCGCCGTTGCTGTCTTGGTCAATCTCGTTGATCATGAGGTCGATTTCTTCCGGTGACGTGTTGATGCCCAACGTGTCCATAAGCTCGCCCAGCTCGGCCTTGGTGATGGACCCTCCGCGATCCTACGCGCTGCCACGTCATCGTCCTCCATTCCTTGACATACTCATCGCACCCGATCCACTAGATTGAAGATCTCTCGAAACTCTGCAATTTCATTTTCAGACAGTTCTTGGGCCATCTTTGTTCGTTGCTCCGTCGTGGTTGCGTGGGCACTTTAATGTGTAACTGCTGTAACTGTCCACGACACAGTAACTTCAACCATCAACTCCCTTGGGTGATTTATTGATGGCTCAACTCGTGTGCGCCGCGCGAACCGACCCGCCGCGACAAGTGACATGCGGCCCTCAAATGAAACTGCACTTGAACGTGTTCCAAGGGTTTGTCCTGCCTGCCTTCTCCAGCTCCCAAATCCCCGCGCTCGTCGACCAACTCGTCGGGCATCCCCGGATGCGCAAGTCCACCACATTTGCGTATGCGTACCGCATCCTCGAGCCTTCCACCGACAAGGACACTACTAGTCCAACCAGCCACCACGACTCGGAGGGCACGACAGAAGGCAGCGACGACGGCCTGACCCTGGGCGCCGGTGACAAGCTCCTTCAGGTGCTGCGCCGATGGCAAGTGTGCAATGCCATCGTGGTGGTCAATCGGTCCGATTTGAGTCTCACCGGTCGGCTTATCGTTGCCCAAATATATAAACTCGTTGTCGAAAGCGCCAAGCTCGCGCTGGAGCAGTTTGCCCTCGACTCTCTTCAGGTATTACAATGCACTCTTCTTAGTGTACGATATCATATGTGATTGTGCGCTCTACCAGTTCAAGTTCATACACGTTTGCGGTCGATTGTATATGTAGCCATCAGAAGCCGCCAAACTGGCGCTACAAGACGCGTCCAACAACCAAAAGAGCAGCGGAGTCGGGGAGGTTCCGCATTTAACGGTACAGGAGATGACTTACGCAGGGGCTCCCACGCATATGGTGAATGGAACGGTGCTGGGGACAAAGCAAGGTCGGATCAACCACTTCCAAGGGGCCCAAGAAGGGGATAAGCACGCGATGACGACGAATCGACCCAAGTCCCTCGAGCGCTTGGGCATTTCAAAGGACGACCTCGCGGCCCTCAAAGTGGTGCGCATGCCGCCCAAGGAGCTGCACATGGTTCTCGTCTGCGTCGCGGTGCTGCTCAACGTGCCCGACCTGTCATGGCTCGGCTGCCGAGACATGCTTAACGCGGCATCGTTTTGCGCCAATGTGCTCGGTGTCCGGCCGCACAACGTCACCAAGAAGCAGGCGACTCGCGTCCGCGCGATTCTGCAGGAACCCCAGTTTGTCCCAGAGCTGATTCGACGCGTGTCTGTCGTCGGTGCCGCGCTCCTCTCGTGGGTCATGCAGATCATGGACGAGTACGACGCCCTGCGGCTGGGCTTTGACCTCCGCGGTCCCGAAGAGGACGACAGTCAAGCGGAGTCGTTTCCTCCGCCGGCGGACGTGTCCCCGTGGTCCCTGGCACCCGAGCTACCGCCGCCGAGCCAACAACACCGTCCTCTTTCCGAGGACGACGACGCCACCGCCATCATCCCCACAGACTTGTTCATGCCAAAAGTCGCGCCGTTTGCCGTGCACGACACCGGTCGCATGTTGTTGCCACAGTAGCTAGCACTCTGTCCAAATTTAATCATAACATTAGGTTAACTACATACTTCGAAGTATTACTCTACAACATACAACAGTAAGTTACCCGTAGTAGAACACACATCGGAATACTAGGTACTACTAGTAGTACTGTATATGTACAACCATGTTAGTAAAAGTACGGGCGAATGTACTGCTCGGACGTGCGTCGGTTTTTCGATACTTCAGTGGCGATACCATGGGACCACACCAGGTGCATGAGCGCTATGTAGCGCTTGGGGCGGAGAAACAGCGGCCGGCCGCGCCGGACGTGGTGATCCTCTTCGCCAAACTCGTCCACGTACGGGGACGCAAAGAAGGACGCGCGTCCGCCCGAGCTCACGAGCAGCATCTGACACTGTTTGGTCAAGAAGAACGCCCCGTGTCCCATATTGCATGCGACAACGTGCTGGGAGCACGCGCCGCGGAGATTGGGCTTGCAGCAGTCGGACCCGCCGCACACGACCGCGCCGCATACGAGGCAGATGGCGGGGGCTTCTTGGACGAGGCCGGTGGTCGGGCACACAGCCGACGCCGCCGTGGACGTGTACAGGTCAGTGTAGAGCGGCGCAAGGGCAACCACGGGCACATGGGCGGCCCAGACGGCATTTCGTTTCACGAGAAAGCTCAGCGGTGGCAACTTGTCCATGTCGACTTGGGGTATGTAGTGGGCAATGGGCCCACTCCACCACGACTGTTCGGTCAACAGAGACGACGGCGACGGCACCCCCAGCTGCGTGCACAGCTGCGACAGGTCGGTGGTCATGTGCAAGTTGGAGACAAAGTTGAGGTACTGCGCCGCGGCGTCCGTGTTGGTCCACCCGCGGAAAAGCGCGCGGGCCAGCAACGTGGCTTTGCGCAGGAATTCCGTGTAGTTGGCTTCCACGAGGTAGTGCAGCAACGCCCCTGATGGGGCCGCCGGACTCGTCGACACGTGTCCTGCCGACAAGGCCACCAAATACGCGCGGAGAGCGGCGTACGGGGACGTTTCTGGCACTGCCGCGTCCTCATCGATGGCCGCGATGTCATGTGGTATGTCCAATGGTCGCATGCATTGCAAGATGACTTGGACGAGGTGCAGCGAGCAAAACGTGCGGATGGCCCACAGCATGTCGGAGGTGTCCTGTAACCCGCTGATCACGAGCAGCAGCAGCGTGAACAGGTCCTGCTCGAGCAGCGGCATGTGCAAAAAGTACGCATCGCGGGTCGCCGGCGTCGTGTCAGTCCGGAAGAGCACGTCCACGCCGTGCCCGTCGTGGTTGGACGACGCATAGATAGGGAACACATCGCGCACATGCGACAGCATCATGGTAACCGCGTGGAGCTTGGAGTCGTCCTGGGCGGTAAACGGATCGACGAGGGCGTCGATGTCGGGCGGGAAGGCGGAGGCGAGACGAGTGGAGAGAGGGGGCAGGGGGCTGTTGAGGTCCGAGGTCAGGTCCAGATGGCAAAACGCCGCCGACATGCCGTGGAGGTGGCCAAGGTGGAACATGTTGGACGCTGTGCGAAGCAACATGGTGACCTGGTCAAGCCATCCGCGCACGACGCCGTGGAGCAGCGACGGTGGCTTTAGCACCCCCGCAACCCCGAGAAACATTTCAATCGCCGCGGGCATCTTGCGACTGCCTTCCGCTGGCACGGACCCATCGACCTACGTCGTCACATTCCAATACAATCAGTGTCCACCATACTCGCGTAACAGTGTCGCATATTGTGCTTTTAGGCACCATGTTTGGATATTTGGGTTCATTCACCAAATCCATTGGTGGTACTGAAATTTGTATGGAAAACTAGGGAAGCCATTCACACTATTAATAGTTGAAGTCATATACTACAGTTTCAATGGTTGCACGAGTTTGATTGGCCACTTGGTTCGTGTTCTGGGTTTTGATTGGTCCGTCAATACATTGTCGGCCGGTTTGGTGCTGCTCATTCAATTGAGCATGCCATTCCAAATTCGAATTGACTGACAATATATATATATATCCACATCCAACGAACAACATCCACCATCCAACTCGTAACTTGGACACAACATGTATACCAATGTATGAATGTACAACCACGATGCTCACAAAAGGCCTCTCACTCGTTCTCTCACTCTGAAACAATAAGATCCAATCGAAACGTACAGAAAAGTACGTGTGCATGTGCTCAGGCAGCGCGTGCGTGAGCCAAGTCGTGATCTCGTCCATGTCGTTTGCGTGGTGGAAGTACCGCTCCATGCCGGCCGCCAGCGTCGGCGGCGACGGCACGTACGGCACGCACGTGTTGCAGAGCGACTTGCACAGCGGACACAGGAACTCCCCTGCCTGGGGCTCAAACGCGATCTGCGCCTGCGCACTCACCGACGCCTCGCGCCGCACCGTCGAGGAGTACTTGTTCATGCAAGATAGATGCACGGCGTGGCGGCACAGCTGGACATGAAGTGACTCCCACTGCAGCCGGTTGACTGTTCGACCCACCGACCTACAAGCAACAGTCAACCAACCCTTTTGTCCTTGGGATACGACTAGTATAGATAGCGTCGAGAAGACCAATATGTAATATTTAAAAATAATATTAGCATTCGACAATATCCCACGCATTGAAAACAGGGGCGACCACCAAAAAGGCAAACACACCATGCTATGCAAAATGCACTTTGAAAACACACGCCAAATCGTGTAAAACGCAAGGAAAACACACGTCAACTAGTGTAAAACCCATTGAAAACACACGCCAACTAGTGTATTCCACTGGGGGATTGTTGTATACCTGCCACGAAGGGTGGATTCTTGCAGGAGCGCCACATACACGATCGGGTCGTCGTCGTCCTTCTTGACATGCGCGCAAATGTTGCATTCCGGCGGCGGGACCAGGCCATCCGCGTTGGTCGCGTCGTCCATGTCGTCCATGTCGTCTTCATCCAATTGAGCGGCAAAGTTGGATTGCCGCGCCATCATCTTGGCCATGGCTTCGTGCTGCCGCTTCTTTTGCAGCGCAATTCTCGCGGTCGCGTCCAACGTCGTGGTGGCGGGCGTCGTGGCCGACTCGTCGCGCGGTGGAAACACATGTGTTGTCAGGTACGTCGCCACCACGCCCGTCATGTGAGCTCGCTCCATCTGCAAGTACCCCTTGAGCACAAACAGTGTCGCAGACCACAGCGGCTTTTGCGTCGATTCGTCTGACTTGTACCGGTCCACTCGATTGGCCAGACACGCAAGGATGCTGCTAGTATGGATTGTCATGGGCCTACGGTCACCATGGCGTGATATATATATATATATACAACCAACACAAGGGCCGACTCCACCTTGGTACATACCCCGAAGCCGCTTCTTGCGTCTTCTGACGCTTCGCTCCTCCATCATCGTCAATGTCGCTGCCGTCGCCGGCTCGGCTGATCTGCTCCCGCACCACAGTCGCCCATGTGTCCTCCACCTCTTCTTGCACCATGTACAACTGCACCGTCAAGATGTGCAATACGCGTGCAAATACGTTTTCGTCCGTCTGTAGCCGCGGATCGGTTAGGCACAGCCGGATCAGGCCAAACACATCGGGTTCCATGAGGATAGAGCGGCACACGACCAGGTCCGGATGGCCCGGCGGCAGCTGGTCGACGATCGGGATCGCGGCGTCCCTATCGGGTTTCCACGTCTTGAACACGACGTCTTGTCGGGCAACTTGGGCCTCGACGTGGTGGACGGGGGACACGTGAAAGTAGGCGGGGTCGTACTCGTGGTAGAACTGCGGCTTGAGCGTAAACTTGGCGGGCGCCATGTCTTGGTTCGATCCTGGTTGGATGTCGGCGATTTCCGTGAGCAGGGCCATGAGTTCTCGGTTCTTGGCGTCGTCCGACGTCAGCTCTAGTCCCGGGTTGCAGTACACGGGGTTGGTTTGGTCTCGTAAGTGGGAAAACACGTGCGGCTTGATCAAGATCATGTGCAGCACGTCGCGCCGGAGGTACGCCGCGATAGACTGCGTCGGCACGGGCGGCAGTTCCGTCGCGATCCAAATGAGCTTGAGCAGGCACTCGGACACGTACATGGCTCGCTTTTCCGTCGAGACTTTGTGCAGCCATGTGTCGGCGGTTTGGCCCGTGAGGAACGGCACCAGGTCGTACCGGTCGAGGTAGACGGCGAGGAGCTTCTTGGCGCCGCACAGCGCGAGGCAGGTTTGCACCGTGACCAAGTCGAGGTCCCGGAATGAATGGTTGGAGCTGAGGCTGTAGTAGCTCGTGACCTGGCGCACCATCATGTCCTTGCCGTTGCGTACCCACATGTTGGATGCAATCTGGGACGACCAGACCAGACATCTCAATGGAAACTCCATCAACGTATCGACTAAATTGTCGGCTGTAACCCGCGCTTTGAGCTCTGGAAACAAGTTGCGCTGAAGCATTTCCAGCACAAAACGACCCCACGCTTGATGGAGAGGGTAGTGGAATGAGACGGGCTGTGACGCCACCGAGTAGGCGACGATCGGCGCCCCCAGCCCCGCGTGGGGCTTGAACGAGAGGCGCGCGGTGCCGCTGAACGCGCGCCACGCCGCCGAGAACGCACCAAACAACTCCCATAACACACCCGTCACATGGCCTGAACCTGACATCCGCAGTGACTTGTACACGTTGGGAAGGACCAAACTGTCGAGGTGCATGGCGAGGGTGAAGGCGGAGATCCACGCGGCGTTGTCCTCGCGCTCGACATGGGGCCGCCACTCGGGCACCCGCGTCTGCATGTTCATGTGCGACGCATCGGCCAAGACGGAGAGGAATAGACTTGCGTGCGTGGATGCAAACGTCGTCGTCATCGTCGGCAGCATGAGCAGGTGGTTGATATCCTGCAGCAGTGGAAAGTACCGCCGATACTTGATTGCCATGTGCTTGACATCATACGTAAATACGTCCGTCGATGGCGGCGTGGTGGCGGGAGGAGGCAGCGGCACTTTGGCCAGGCTCAGCGCATCTTGGAGCGTCGAGAGCACCACCTCCCACAACCCGACGCGCGTCTCGAGCTCGTGCACGATCGACGGCGTGGTAAACAGCTGCACACTCAGCCCAAACACATTTTCCCGCTCTGTGCCCATGCCACCGCAGTATTGCATCATCAGCCGCGGAAATGCAGTCACGTAGAGCGATGCAAACCGCGTTTTCTGGTGTTTCGACCCCATGAGCGCCAAGTACACTTGCTTCATACCCTTGACCAGTTCTTTCTTGAGGAATGGCGTCGCCTGGAGCAATATGGCCAGCGGGACCTTGTGGGCCGGAATCTCGTACACACTAGTAGTACTAGCACGATACGGGGCAAACAAGTGCTCAAACAAGACGGATTGGATCGCCGACGACGCGGCGAGCAGCGGCGCCAGACATGCAAACAGCGTCTCCCATGCACATTCGTGCGCCAAGTGTGTGTTGTCCACGACAGACGCAAACCAGTTGCCGTGTTCTTTCATCTGACGCATCCAGTTCAACGCTTCCGCCAGCGTCACATCCGACTTGAGCATGCCGCACCCGCGCTTGTCCACCGCATGGGTGAATTCGGCCGCAAACCCTTCCGAGAACCCTTTGCCGACCAGACATCGGACCAGCTCGTCGTCCGTGTGCACGTCGTCGTTGGAGATGCGGGTGTGAAAGATGGCCGGGTTCGTGGTGGTCGCCGGTTGAGATTTGTCCGCCAACTTGGCCGTGTGCGCGCGCTTCATGGCTTCGCCTTTCTCGGCCACTTTGAAGTCGTCGAACGAGTTGATCGAGCGCTGCGCGACATTTGTCATGAACCCGACAAAGTCGTGGAGAATGCACTGCACCACGCGGTCGAAGGCAGGCGGCAGAAGCAACTCGTTGGAGGCCGACGCGGGGGACGTCCCCGTATGATCTTTACAGAATCCTTCGGGTTTCCACGCCTCCACGTCGCCGCAATCGCACATGCCTCCTGGAGATGTTCGGTGGAAGAATACTTCGTGTCCAGTGTGGTCTGAGTTTTGAAAACACGGTTGACACTGCACACACGTGTCGTCCATTTGGCAAGTGCGGCAATTCCACGCAATATCATTGTTCTTGAACATGTACCCACAGACTCCGCCCCGGGAGGATGTCCCCGCTCGATCGTGCTGTGCGTGCAGATCCCGCAGGTACGCGTCCACTGTCGGCAAGGTTGCGAATGTGTTGCTTGTGGCGACGCGCATGCCGGCCTGCAGCATGGCGTCGATGAATGCCGGGAGGCGATCCCAAGAATGCCCTTCCTCTATCAGTTGTAAGATCCATCCTTCAGGCAGCAAGTCTCCTGAAGAAGATGCATCTCGAAGCGTCCGCTCCACGGTCAGGCCGAGCGCAGCAGGAGATGTCCACGACGCCATAGTATGTACCGTTCAATTCGCGAATGTGAATGGGGTGTCCCAACTTTATAAATCCGCAAGTTCGCCGCTGCACTTTTATATTATAATAAATGTTATGACACATCATACTTGAACTAGTATGTCGACTCAAATAAAACTACCATAGATTAAATAAATATGTATTTGCCTTCAAACCTCAAATAGAGTAATAATTTTAATACAATGTCGAATATAGTGTGAGTGGCCGATTTTCAAAAACCCATTGGGCGGTGCAGTGGCGCAGAATGAACGTGATCAAGGAGATCCAGCGGCTGAATGAGCAAGAATTGGAGCAAGGCGTGAGTATCGAGGGGTCATGGCATCACATTTACCGCGACTCAGCATGGGTGTATGTGGGCGGTCTCTCATATGACCTCACAGAGGGTGACATCCTGTGCGTGTTCAGCCAAGTGGGGGAGATCGAAGACATCAACCTCGTGCGCGACAAGGACACGGGCAAGAGCATGGGGTTTAGCTTCATCAAGTACGAGAACCACCTTTCGACTGTACTAGCTGTGGACAATTTCAACGGGTCGACCTTGTTGGAGCGGTTACTGCGAGTGGACCACGTCCACAAGTACAAGTTGCCCAAGGAACTGCGAGACAAAGAAGAGAACGTGGTGGCGGACCACGACGATGAACTGCGTGGGAAACCAGGTCATGCTTACGAAGGCAAGGAACTCGAGAACAAGTTCGATATCCATCAAGGGGTGGACGTGTTCAAGGTCAAGATGAGTAAGCATGAGAAGAAGAAGGCCAAGAAGGCGGTGAAGAAGGCCAAGAAGGAGAAGCGGCGACAAGTCGATATCGAGAAGAAGCAGATCGCGTATTTTGAAGAGATCAAACGCATGCGGGCAGCGCGGGCCGCACACGACGCCGACGAGCGGGCGCGACGGATGCAGATTGAAGGCGTGGAGAACGCGGCCGATTTCGTCATGCCCAGCGAGACGGGGTGGAGAGGGCGTTACGAGCCCAACGTCGAACCGATCTACGCGAAGGACCCCAACGCGCCCAAGCAAGGGCCGAACGGGTACGGCGGCATCCACCGCACTCGCTAACCCGCCCGTCGTTCATAGTAGAATATTAATATTAACTATTACAATTACTCATACTACAAGGCATGAATATAATATAAATTAGGAATGTTGGTGAAACCGTCAGATATATCCTCAACAGGTGCGTCAATCAAACGCCATGAAAACCAGGAGGACGGGATGGACACTAGGAGTCGTGAGCGGTCTCTTGAGCGGTGGTGTATGGAGTTACAATCCGGTGGGAGGCGACCTTTGCAACGCCTTGAACGACTGTAGCGGCCATGGCAAGTGCAACACGTTGACGAAAGTGTGCACATGCTCCAACGGATGGGGCAGCCCGTCGGACATCTCGCACAACAAGGCCGCCGATTGTTCCCGACGTACGAACCCACGCCGTTCGAATCTCCCTGTCTTATCATCGAGCTAACATGTAGGCGTGTGTCCGTCTGGTGCATCATGGAACTCCATCCCAACGCTGCCGACGACGGCCCACACGGCCGCCGAATGTTCCGACATGGGAGTATGCGACACGACCTCGGGCGAGTGCAAGTGCTTTCCAGGGTTTGTGGGCGCCGCATGCGATCGCAGTACGAAGCGACGACATCTGCCTTGAGACTCACATGCGAAACGACTTCTAGCGTCATGCCCCAAAGACTGCTCCGGCCACGGCATCTGCATGAGCATGAGGGCTCTTGCCGGTGTCTCAGCAGCCTTGCCGTTGTCGGCTCCCACGACATATGGAGGGCAACCCGTACGATGTCATAGTTCTACTGTTAATCGTCGTTACTTGGATGCTCACATGTCGTTAGAGCACGACTACATGGGACCAAGACCGCCTCTTTGGCTGTGTGTGCGACTCGCCGTGGGCAGTGGGCCTGGCGTCAGGTCAAGTCCAGGCCAGTGGGTGGTTTGGCGCCGATTGCTCCCTTCGTACGTCATGACGTCGTTTGTCCCTTCCATAATGACATGACTCATGGTCCCAGAGCACTGTCCGTACGGAGACGACCCCGTCACCATCGGGACGGACGAATTGAACTGCACTGGTGTGGCCGCCCCGGGCGGGATGGGGGTGGGGGCGTCGGGCAATGTATGCTTTATCGAGTGTTCGAATCGAGGGGTGTGCGACTACATCACGGGGCTTTGCACGTGTTTCGAAGGGTTTTATGGTCCGTAAAGCGAGGGAGGCAACACCACCTAACGACCTTCTTGTAGGGTCCAACTGCGGAACCATGTCGATGGGGTAGAAGGCTTTGAAGAAAATTGGGTTGTCGTCAATGATACGATGATTTGATCCTTAGTCCTTTTTGAGATAATCATAACGGTTCGCCCATTTCTCAAGAGGGGATGTCTTGTCGTCGCCGCTTTCAAAGTAATGCAACACGGCCATACCCGTGCCGATCGCAACGCCAGCACCCAAACCCCACACCACGTTCTGCTTGACCACGGCAGGCACGATACCCGTCACGAGACCGCCAATGAAAGGGTTCCACACATCATCGTGGCTACGGATCGAGTGCTGCACATCATAAGACTCGTCAATACACATCGACCAGAACAAATCAAGCAGGCCAACGACCACCTACCGCGAAATGCTCGCTTGCCGCAAAGACAAAGCTCGCAGACCCGAACGCTACCTAAGGATGCAAAGTAAGGGCGAATAATGAACATAATTAAATGTAAGGTACCGAGCGGGCGCCGATACCGCGAAGTTGCTTGGCAAAGCTGGGGAGTTCCTGGCCTAAGGTGGCAGCGTGTGAGGATCAACGTGTCATCCCGAGGCAAGGAAGGTACCCAATCGAGGAATGCGCCATACAGATTCCACGGAACCGATGGCGGCTCCGCCGAAGGCACCCGCGCTTGTGAACAGCGCGACTTTCTGGCCGGGATTGAGGCTGTCCATCGTCGTTTGTCTTCACCACTCGTGTTGTGGCGCTTCATCACCGCATCAGTATACCATACTTTTATCTAGTACAATGGGAAATGGCCTGTATCCGGAATCCGGATAAATGACCTCGACTAACCGGATAAGGTGTCCATTTTGAAAAAATGCCGCCAAAAGCGAAGCGGCTTACGAAGAAGGAACAGCAGGCATTGGCGCGGAGGCAACTGCTCTCCAATGCCAACGCCGTTCCCGACTTCATGGTCGACTTCAAGGCATTCGATACCTTTCAGACCAGCGCGGTTGACGAGTCGGCCAGGCTGCGGTCGCTCCATGCGCAACAGTTGACACCATCGGAGCAAGACCAAATCGAACGACTCTTCTGCGACAATATGCAGAAACTGTATGAGGATTCGACATGGGGGTTTGATCTGGCCAAGAAACGCGTCGAGCTGTTCGAAGACGCTGCGCGGTACATCATCGTCGAACGAACACCTGGTCAAGTTGACGCGTTTTTGCATTTTCGATTCGTCGAGGACGAAGGCGATGCTGTCGTGTACGTGTACGAGATCCAAGTGGGTCCAGGTCTGCAGCGCCAAGGCCTCGGCAAGCGACTCATGCAGCTTCTGCAACTCATCGGGCGCAAGTACAGGATGAAGCTCATCCTTCTCACCGTATTCAAGACCAACGTTGCCGCCATGACGTTTTACACTGAGACACTGGGATTCGACATCGACGACACGTCGCCCAGTGCTCATGGCGACATGTCCGAGTCATACGAGATCTTGAGCAAGTCGCTGGTGTAATATATCGAGTGGTTCCAGGGTGCAATCCCTGCAATAACGTTAGTCATATAGTATAATGCAAGGCATGCCCTGTATTAATGTCATTCATTGTACGCTCTGTACTACAATAGTCAAGGTGAATCCTTTCTATGTAACATTATCGATAAGGAACAGTGTCACCGTTTCTATGGCTACAATGTACTGCATCTCATCTCTTCGACAGTGTTGTGCATGAAGCTGCACGCTCCTACAGCGATGTATCCATGTATTCTCTGTAGATCGAGACTCAGGATGTTGTTTTGGTTCGTGTTTAATGGGCCAGGCGTCTGTATTTACTTGCCTTGTTCGATCAAGTACGCGTTCCACTTGGCGACGTTGGATGACATGGCGGTGTTGCACTTCTCCGTGAACGGCAGTCGCATGTCGTACGCGTCTTCGCCGTCGGCGTAGTACCCCTTCTCGATGTCGTACACTTGGTATTCGAGGGTCTTGCGGTACAAATGGAAAGCCGCCGCGTTGGTTTCGCGCACGTGGAGCGACACGTACTCGGCCTTGAAGTTCTCGACCATCGCACGTTGCGCGGCCTTCATAAGCTTGGTCGCGATGCCGCACTTACGGTGCGTGCGCAACACAGCAAGGGACGTGATGTGGCCGTGCGGCACGGAAGCGTCTTCTTCCATCTTGGCCAACACGTAACCGACAATCTTGCCGTGATGGTCCTCCGCCACGTACAGCAACTGCGGCCACGACATGATGTGGTAGTAGTAGTATTTCATCTGGTAGTTCTCAGGCAGACACCACAGATTCGCGTTCTGCATCGCCAATAAGTCGGTCACCTACGCATATCCAGCTTATGACCATTGGACTGGCAATCCTCCGACATACCGTCGCATTGCGGATGCACACCATGATAACCTGATGTTGCGTTGGGAATCACACACTTTTTCGGTGGACCTTCGACGGTATTCAATTACGCAGGTGTGTCACTTATTAAATTCTACAGGTTTAATAATCGCGAGAAAAATACACTTCAACGTCAACACATCTTGCACATTCAGCTTATTCTATTCTATGGCGTCCGAAAAGGTTAAACAAATCGAAAATCTCTCGAATTACGGTTGTTGTGGGTTGTAATCGTACACTTGGACGCAATGCCGCCCTGTGGCGACTTCCTCATCGCCGTCTGTCATGTCATGCGGTAGCTTGTACGAACGCTGCCCGGTGCTCAGCGCAATCCGCGCGGTGTCTGGGAAGGGGAAGAAGGACACCCCATTCACGCACTCTACCCGCATCATGATGGCCATGGCAATGGTGCAACCCAACGTTCGATGGACGTACCCGGCAACGTCGCAATCTCGCTGACGCATTCCCCCGTGTACAAGTCATACATGAGCACCCTTGCATCCTAAGCAGGATAAAGTTCACACTCTCACTCTCGACGACGACAATGTGTTTCTGTACCGAGCTGCCCGTGACGACATAACGACTGCCGATGTGAATGTCAAATGCAATGCGCTAAGTCAACAACGTAAACCCACACATATGCCTTCGCAATGAATGCATCATCTCCAGAGGGTCGACGTACTTGGTTCGTAGGGGCCGCTCGTTCGAATGCATGGAGCACTTGCATCGTGTTGCGAATATCCCATACGTTGATCGTGTTGTTCTTTCTCGCACCAGTCAACAGGTATTGGCCGTTGGGGGTGAACTGGACTTGGGTGACGCCTTGTCCATCGTGGCCCTACATCCACCGCCCATGACTTCGCTCATTATTCGTCCTCGATATCATCTACCTCCAACCCCATGAACAATTCGCCGCTGTCTTCTGCGTAAATGCACGTCGACCCACTGTACGACCCCGCGGCGTACATCCTACCAGCACAACGTCATGCTTATCGTTGTCGTTGGCTTGTCACTCAATGGTGGTTTCGTGGCGACGTACTTGGAATGATCCGGGTTGAAATGGATGCTCGAGATGATGCCCCTGCTCCATTGGATTTTGAGTACATTAAAGAACCATATAAGACGCATTAAAGAACTTTCAATCCTAGCATTAAAGAAACATCAACAAACTGAACGACAAGAAGGATTATAACACAATGGATAAAAGAATCACGATTGAAAACATAAAAGAACAATGACAAGATCACGACCAATTGTACCGTTGTCCGTGGCGAGTTTTCTTGGTTTTGCTCAAGGATCGCGTGGTAAAGTCGCGGCTGGGCTGGGACGCATCGAAGAATCGAATGGTGCGGTCGAATCCGCAGAAGATTTTGTCGCCAGTGCCGTTGAACGCGACCGAGTAGGCGGACGTGAGTTCGTCCAGGTGATCGTACGCGCGGTAGCTCGCGCGGAGGGCGCCCGTGTACGCGTCCCAGAGGTGCACGGGGTGCGCATGGCTCGTTGTGATAAACACGCACGTCGCTGGATCCTCCGAGTTCATGTACGGGTACCACTGGAAGTCGTACACGGTGCCGCCTTCGTGCATGCTCAACGTGGCCTGATATCCATGTCAGGACGATTCGTCGGCGAGTGAACATAAGAATGCATGTATCGACATTGTAGTACCGATTGAACGCCAGGCTCGACGTCGAACAGTCGCAGGATGTTGTCGTCGCTGTTGCTCAAGACACAAAGCCCATCTGGTGAGACCTTGACGCCGCGTGTAAAGTGCGATTCGAACGGAGCCGAGATGGAGTGCTCCAGCACGGGTATGGCTCCCGTGGCATGCTCGTACCATACGATCTCAGGCATGGCAGCTGCCATCTCAACGTCCGCAGTTGTCGTCTCGTCACTTGCTGCACTCGTAGTTGCTTCATCTGCTGTCATCCTTGACCTTCAAGCTGTGGCAATGATGATGCTCTACGGAACACATTATCCGGGATTCGTTCCTTACTATCCGGATGTATTAAAGTATCGAGGTTTTAACGTCGTCATGTGCGGAAGGGCAGCCTGTGTGCTTCAACCCCAGGATGTGAGTGAAGCGACCCGGACTGCGCCCAAGGACTTCGTAGACCAAGATAAGTGTACGTATGCACATGCAATGATCTGAGTGTTGACATCCGATGACTGCGTTAGACACGCCCCATTACAACGTGTCGCCTGGCATGGCCACTCCGATCCTGTATCGGGACAACGCAAGCAAACAGCTCGTCGTTCGACCGATGAAGGTACTGTACTGTCGAACACAAGTACTTGTATTCGCATTTTCCGTCCAACCTTCGAGCGTTCGTTAGTGGGGTCTTATCCCGTCGTACATGAAGCCCGACGAGAAGGTGAATCACTACATGCGATTCAATGCCAGGTACAAGACACATATGCCACATCTACCTCACATTCGACACACAGGTCCGAATCCATGGCGGAAACTCCAGCGTACCGTCAACTCGTCAATAGGAAGCGCTGCGTCGTCCTGTTCAACGGGTACTCGAAACCATAGTACAATGTAGTCCTCTTAAGACCAATGTAATGGAGAAGGTTTTACGAATGGCAGAAGCTGGGAAAGACCGAGAAGCAACCTTACTTCATCCATCTCGCGAACAGTCCCATCATGCGCGTACGTCAATCTCCCGCATTTCGATCCAAGCAACATGTGGGCTGCGCTGTAGATGGCAGGACTGTACGACACGTGGCGCAGCGACCAAGGGGAGGTCGTCTACACATATTCTATCATCACGACGGAATCGCCGTCGAAAATGAAGTGGATTCACACGCGCATGCCGGTGTGGAGCGTCCCATCGCATGCCACGATGTCACATATTGGGACTACTAGATGATGCTGCGAGATGCAGATGAAGCGGACCGATGGCTGGCCATGAAGGATGACGAGTCCAAAGGGTCGAACCAACAGGTGTGGCTGTCGCTGGTGCATCCGTACCCACACGATGACCTCGAGTTTTACCCCGTGACCAAACAAGGTTCGTACACACGACGACCTGTCACATATATATCATTTTGAATCTGATTCTTCCGTAGTGGGCCAAGCGACGTTTGATTCGGCCGCGTGCCTAGCCAAAGTTGACGTTCACGTGGCAGGTTGCATATATATATATATTGTCCTATTACCCAAAATTTGGGCTTTTGTGTTGTTCCGCCAAATCTATCGATCGATTGTTTGTATTGACTTTTGTTTGTAAAAATCGTCCAGTGTCACACTAATTCAATGTTGCAATGGTCGAAGAGTGCATTTGATTGGCTACTTGATTCGTGTTGTGGGTTTTGATTGGTCGTATATCGATTGTCTTGCTTATTCGATTGAGCATTTCGAATCGACTTGACAATATATATAATATAACGTTATATATAAATATATTGTCAAGAATTTATATATAAATTCTTGGATGTAAGCCTAGTAGCTATACAGTCGAGATGATTACACCGGCGTGTATTGTGTAGGCAAGATCACGTCATTCTACAAGCACGACGCAGATCATTCCGCCGGCACAATCAAAAACGAACACATCACAGCACCACTCAAACACGAACACGTGGACAACCCTCGAACCGTGTCCACCAGTTCAGAACCTTTGGCAGTGAACCGATTGAACGCCACCAACAGTACCCTCCCTGCCCATGACCCGAGCTCAGACAGCTTGTCCACCCCCAGCAGCAACAAGCGACCGTCGGGTCCATGGCCGTGCCCCGCCTGTACGTTTGAAAATGATGATGAAGCACGTACATGTGCCATGTGCGGCGGCCCGTCGCGCCCCCCAGGGAATGAGTGGACCTGCGACAAGTGCACGTTTGTCAACACGTCGAAAGCCCCATCGTCCTCCATCTGCGCCATGTGCCAGGCGTTCCGACGGTCGGGAAGGTCCTCTGGAGCGTCGCCGGCGTCGAAAAAGCCCAAACTCGTGGCGTCGTCGCCGCAGAAACCAATCACGTCGTTCTTTTCCCCGTAAAAACGTTCCTCGCCTTGAATTCAAACAGATGGATCTGCGACGCCGTTGTTGTTGTGGTAGCAATTATTGTGAATTACTACGTAGTAGCTTTAAACTTCCATTTGTCTACTCAAAATTGAATCACGCTGGAGTTCTGATTGACTGATTATACTTGACCTTTCTGTAAGAGCCAATCAAATCCACCCAAATTGGTTGGATCAGCCAATAGCGCCGATTCGATTCAACGGGGTCTGGACATTTGTAACCGAAAAATCCACAATATATCCATCTACACTGTATCACATTTCGTCGTGGTGGATTTTGCCCGGCCGTTGAAACAGCAGCGAGTGTTGGTCGAGCATGTTGGGGATGTGACTGTGGTCCAAACCGTCGTCCGCTTCGTCGCTCGACACGATCGAGGCCCCATCCTCTTGATGACGCTCTGATGTGTTGGCCGTGTCGCTCGATGGTGGTGTCGACTCGCCCACGGCACTGTCGATGAATCGCTTGAGTGCGAAAAAGTAGTCGAGGCCCCCTCGCATCCAGCTGTCGTTGTGCGTGCCGCGCGGGATCGGCAGCCACTGGCGCCGAATGCTCTTGGTGGCGAGCGCATGGAGTTTCTGCATGTGGGTGTGGGGCACGAGTTCGTCGCGTTCGCCAGCAACGAACAGAATCGGGTGCGTCAGCGTCGGTATCCGGCCTTCGTTGCTCCAGTCCAGACGGAGCACCACGGGCTTGACATATGACAGCCACGGCATGACCTGGTCCACCATGGCCGAGATGGACAAGAACGTGTTTTCGACGATCAGCCCCGCGACCTACATTGACATGCCATGTAAAGGATACGACGAAAGAGGATGCATGTACATAATACCTTCGTGGGACGAGTACTCGCGACGTAGACGGCGACGGCGCCGCCGAGAGACCGCCCAAACACGATGAGCTTGGACGGATCGACGACGGACGACGCGCCGCGCGAGTGCAAGTAGTCCACGACCCCCTGCATGATGTAGAGTAGCATGATAAAAGCACGGAAGGAGAAGGGAGATACAGATGGAGTTTTGGTTGTTTACCTCGGCATCAAGCTGTAACCCGCGCTCAGTAGGTTCACCGTCGCTCATACCAAACCCACGGTAGTCGACCAGCAAGATGTTGCATTCCAAATGGCGATACATCTTGGCGGCGTTTGGGAGACGGTATCCGATGTCTACGAGGAGGGTGGATGAGAAGGATGAAGGGGAACTGGTGGAGCACGAGAGAGATGGACGAACTGCCAGCATTGCCGTGAAAGAAGACAATTGTGGGCACGGTGGTGGGCTGCGGCTGTTTCATGAGCCATGCATGGATCTTGATCCCGTCCGCACATGGAATGAACACATCTTCATAGTCGATCCCGTACTCGTTGGGGTGGCGGTATCCTGCATCGTCGTGCATGACAAGTGAGAAGTCAAGGGCGTTGGGGATTATGGATGCAGTACCTTCGGGGTTCTCCGTGGTCAACCTAGACACACCCGGCATGCTAGGAAAGTAGAGAAGCTTCTCCTGGTACACATAGAGGATCCCGAGGAGTCCAACGGCCAGCGCGGCACTGGACACTACCAACGTCTGGAGCCATGATGCCGCCGTGGACGTGAAATCTCCCATGCACAACAGAACTCTTTTTGAGGGTTTGGAATATATTTTTCGATGAAATTCTCAAACTATAGCAAAAATATCACTTTATTTCTATATTTCTGCGATTTCCATGGGTTTGACCTGTGATTGGTCGAAAGTTTAAACTGGGGCACTTTCAGAATTGCATGAAAAACGATGGTGCGTAACAAGGCCGGCATCGCCGCCCGCGGCAGGGCCGGAAGGACAAGAGAAGACCTCCAAGAGGTGCTGAAGACGTACACTAATATGGTGGAGCGACATAATCAGTACCGCGAACCCAATACAGCCTCCAACTACGAGGAATATCGCCTCGCCGCTGGGTATGACGTGAACTTGTATGACATTTGCAGGCAGCCCCGGGAGCCGCAAGACCGAACCCTGCACATCCCTGCCTCATCCCTGGATGAAGAACTCAATTGCTCCATATGCACCGGTGCGTGCTAGATTGTCTCCCCCCTCGAGGAAACTCAACGTCGTCGTATATGTAGGCATTATCCGCGACGCGATGGTCATCACGGCTTGTTTGCATCGGTTCTGCGCCAACTGTATCGAGCGGCACATCCACGAGAAGGGCAAGAACACGGTGTGTCCTGTGTGCAACACACCCTTCACTACCCGTCGGGCTCTGCGGCCGGACCCGACTTTCGACAACCTCATCAAGATGGTGTACGGCGACGTGGACGCGTACGAGAAGGCCGAGGAAGCGCGTATCCAGCTCAACAACAAGGAGCTGTTTCCTCGGTTGGATCTCGACAAGCACAAGGGTGAGAAGCCAGTGAATCCCATTGCCAACAAGCGGCAGCGCACGCGATGATTGGGACTTTTGGTCGAATTTGTTTCCAAATGTACAAAAACACAAAAATTGGTGAAAAATTTGTTCAAATTTGCTCAAACTTGTTAAAGCACAAACGGCACCAACGCCTTGCGCCCAAGCTTCTTGTACTCGGTGCCGTACGTCTTGTAGTACCCCTTGTGCTTTTGGAGGGCCCACTGCGCCATCTGGAGGAACCCCACGACGGTGAAGACGTAGCCTACATTCATCATGCATGAGACGGTGATGTCGGAATCGCGCTCCAGAGGACGCTAGTATGTATGGTGTCGTACCAAACGCAATTTGAGTGAAGATGGAAAAGCCCACCCATCCCAGCACTTCAAACGTGTAGTTGGGGCATGACACGAACGCAAAGAGCGGTCCCTTGGGGATGTTGCGGGCGCTGGACCCTTCTTGCGTCCGCATGAGCCGGAACTGCATGTGCACGCTAAAGTTCAACACTTCCGACACCTATACATACACATGACATTCCGCGACGATACTGTAGTGGCGGGGGGGGATGATCATGGAACGAGTTAGGTACCGCAAAGATCACCAACCCAACGAGGATTTGCGTGTCCGAGGTCGGGCCTTGGTACTGCGGGTGGCACAGCGGGTACCCAATGATCAATCCAAACGACCAATAGTACATGCAATTTTTGAACAAGTTGAAGAGGGGCATGGTTGGGCGCGAAAAGCGATGGACAAACAGCGTCTCCAGTTCGCGCTTGAGGAAATGGAGCGTCCACGCAATGATGCCGTACGTCGCGGTCTTGCTGAAGGGAAGGGACGAGGCCTTGGCGCCGTAGAGGAACGCAGGGCGGGTGGCGTACAGCAGCACAAACACCATCGGGCCCAGGTATTCCAAGAGGAACACTGTGCGGTAGCCGATCTGAGGTCCAAGGTCCTTGACCACAAGGTCGTTCGTTCCTTCGACAAACCCGAGCGCCGCCAGCGTTTCCAAGTCCCCGTTCAAGTTCTAAAGAGGTAGAAACTTCGATGAATACAACAATGGCGGTGACGAATGGTACCTTGAAGGCGTCACCAGTCTTGAGCTTCAAGCCTTGGCGGTGGATGCTTAGGCGGGTGGACTTTTGCAGCTGCTTCTTCAGCGATAGCAAGGTGTCCTTGGGCTGGACCTCCAACGAGCCATACTCCTTGCCCTTCGCGTTCGTGACCGTGATCTGCATCGTCAATTTCAAACTGGTGTCGTCGTCACCACCACAATCCCCTTGAAATCGTCATCCGACCACCGCAATGACACCGATCTCATCTCTGATTGGCTGAAATAGAAAATTTTATATCCAATCACAGGCATTCATTAAAATAACGTACTTTAGAGAACTACTTGAAGTATGAAGTACTCACAGTCAACATAGTGGTATTTTACTCCCTTATTATTCGGTCCGTCTGGTATCCGGAAATATTGCAATATTCTGTCAGGCCCAAAACTCCATTTTGGGGCCGAATTCAACAAATCTGATCAATATTGACTATGAAACATGTATTGCTTCAAGAGTTTTAACCCAAATCCAATAATTCCACGCGGGATTTACTCGTTGAAGAGGATGTTTGTCAAGAAGGGGCACTTTGGCCGTTCTTGCATTGGCGCTTTTCGCCGAGGTTCGGTCACTTACGGATAAAATCCGGTCATCCTGAATTATCCGGTGTTGTTTTTCTATTGATGCCGGACTGTTTCTCCCCAATCATAGGTCAGCTAAGCAGTCCGTTAATGATCGCTTTTGGTTTTGTCCTCGACCACACAAGTGTTCCTCGTCGTCGTCCCTCCTCAGTGCTACCTACTTTCTCGTTCCTCTTGACAGGTTATGAACCTCATCCCTCCCTCTGTGCAGCCCTTTTGTGGGAACCCCACTCGACGACCTTCGGGGTCTGACCTTCACCTTGTGGAAGACGGACTTCTTGTCCCAAGAGGCGTCCGTGACCTTGCTCAGTTCTACTCTGCACCGCACTGCGCCCTTCAAGGTAATTCCATCGAAGCTCTCAACATCAGCAAGATGTACCTCGAGCTCGATCAAGTCAAACACTCTGAGCTCTACATTGTGGACCCGACTCTGTCGGAGACCGATCGTGATGCGCGTCTCGCTGAAATCAAGGCGCACACGACCGCCATTCAACGCGAGGTCATTGCCCATGAGGCGACAAAGAAACTTGCGAATCAACCGTCTGCGGCGCACACTTACGTGATATCAGCCATCTCTACCCACCTTCGCCGCCTCTATCAGGCCACTACGTGTCCGTACGAGCTCTTTGAGCACATCAAGACTCGTTTCGAGTTCAACCCCATGGAAAACAACCCCACCGTGGTTGCCAGCTATCTGCGTACTCACGAGTTCACGGATGATGGTTGTATTGGCACTCTCCCCGTGGAACGCTTTGACCTTGTCAAGCGCTACCGTATATCTATGAACCCACCGTCCTTCAATTCTCTGCATCCATCGGCGATTTCGTCCGTCGACTACCACAACCATATTTGGAACTATTACACTCTGTGTGCGATGTCGGACACCATTATTGGTGAAAAGGAATTGTGAGACTGGATGAAGCGGTTTGGGATGTCACGAGTCTCGGTCAGTGACCAGGGTACCCATTTCAAGAACGTAGCGATGTAGGCGCTGGTGCACAGGTTTAAGGTGCACCACGACCTCACACTGGCCTATTGTCTATGGCGGAACGGCACAGTGCAACGCATGAATCGCGACATCCTCCAAGTCATACGAGTGATGTTACGGGACTACCAGTTGGACGAAAAGGAATGGCACTACCTCCTACCGGTGGTGCAGTTCAACTTCAACCAAACGCCGACATTGTCATTAGCCAACAAGTCCCCCATGGAACTCTTCACGGCCCTCAACCCAGCGACCCCTTTGGACGTCGTCCAAAGGGGTCGCTGCGTGAAGGGATCTCTGCGAAGTCAAGTGGCAACACTAGGACATCCAGAAGAACGTCGACAAACTACGAACAAGTTTTGTTGGAACACCTGGTGACACATGAAGAACGCGAAGCCCATACGTTACGCGTGAAGATGTATGCTGAAGTTGAAGTCACAGATGAAATCCTCGAACATGTATTCGAGCAAGGCATTGTACTGAAGGTCAAATCCATCGCGGGACACAAGTTTGTCCCGGATGTGAGCGACTTCATGTTGGAAGTGTTCTGGGAAGGCTTTGAAGACATCGAATCATCATGGGAGCCACTCAAGAAGCTAATGCGGGAATGGCCAGCCATGGTCAAAGCGTATGTGGCGGCCAAGAAGAATGCCGAAGACCACGAGATATTGACCAAGGCGATGAAGCGAGCAATTGTGGCAAAGTAGTGAAGCGAAGGCCTAAGTGTCATGGCGATTACATGGCTTGGAGTGCGTGTTGTGGTCGGTGGCTGTCAGCCATGCCCCGCCATGACACACAGGGACACTTGGTGGGGTCCCTTGGCGCAAATCCTGTGAACCGACGCGTTAGATACACTCTAGTAGTATTAATAGTAGTATTAGGAGGTGTCGGTTGGGAGTGGTCACCATGGTCAGCCAATCAGTGGACACCTGGGACCACCTACCACTTCTACGCAAGCTCACTCCTAGTTTTGCTCTGCAACGGACATAACAATCAAGTGCGTGGTTCACGGGAGGCGGCTCCCCCCATTTGGTTGTTTGTGTTGGCGTAGTGGAGGAAACAACACAAGGACCGAAGTAGGACATGGCATCACGCCAGACTTTGGGGTCGCTGTTTTCGGCGCGGTCGGTGAGTAGAGCGTAGATAAACAATGATCCCATAGGGGCTGAGAGTGGAACAGAGTTCACTGGTTGTGAGGAAGGCGACGGCAAAGCCGTAAGTGCACAATGCGGTAGTAGGCGGCGAGAGACTCCATAGGAGTTGTGTCCATGAGGAGACTAGTTGATGAATGACTAATAAAGTCGAGAGATGTGGGTGGTGTTGATGGGCGGGTCGAAGAGACCAGGGATGAAAGGTGGGCCGAAAAGACAGATGGAATACGACCCTAAAATCGTCGTAGTGGAATGGCAGTTGGGTCATACAGTAGACTGGGCTTGTCAACGGAAAAATAGAGAACGCGTCGAAAAGACGGTCAGGTAGAGCCACAGTGAGTATCGTAATGGGTCGAGACGACATGGGTTGTGCTGAGAGGTGACCGGTGATTGAGCCAGAGGCTTGTCGTAAATGAAAGCACTAGGCCGGTTCTCAATAAGTGAATGTAGTGAGGGCAATGGGGCATTAGGGACTGGTTGAAGTAATGAATCACCCACTTTTCCTCGTTAACTATGTGGGCACTCACTTATATAAAAAGTTCATGGAATACCAACTTTTTGAAAAAGTGGGTGGTTTGACTTGAATTTGAGTAGGTATAAATTATCAACAAGTTATTAATAATGAGGTGAAAAGTTGTCCCACATTATGGATGCCGGATAGCAACTTGAGGGTCAGTATCCACGAACCAGTTTCCGCCTAAGCACATTGGAGGCCGGGGATATCGTAGCATTCGCAACTACACTTGCAGCAGTAGCTTGTGTCGTCGCCGTTGTCGGACACGATGGTAGATCACACAAGGAGCCACCGATGAATGTTTACTCCATTCGAAACAACGTCTGGGAAAGTATTGCTGCCCTATGCCAGTATCGTTTCACAACTATACTGTTCTACGTCATAGGCGTCGAAGCCTGCCGCAATTTGCGTGTCAGCAGGTGCACATTTGACCAAATTGTGGATCGTCTCCAGGTTTTCGCGCACGATCAAGGTCATCGCTTACCTGCTATGAATTTGTCGACATGCGGATGAGGGTGGTCATGACACTCAGCTACTTGTCTCAAGAAGGGGGATTCGCGATAACGGCAGCATTGTTCGGGGTCGCAAAGGCCACGACATTTATCAACGTGAATGAGGTTTATATATCATAGAATTTTATTATTGTCGTGATAAAATGTTCTTGAGAGTTTAATTCGTATATAGGTCATGGATCTTATTATTGTGTTCAGTTCGTCCGTTATTCAACTCCTCCAAAGTGAACAACAATGGATAGCCAATGCTGAAAATTTCGAGCGCAGTGCTGGATTCACCGACATCGGCGGGGCAGTTGATGGTTCTCTATTTAGAATGGAAAAGCCGTATGAATATGACGGGGCATTAATACTTAAACAGATATAAAATATTGATATATTGATGTGCATTAGTTGGATTTGTCGAAAAGGGTTCGCCGCGATTAACTTGCAAGCGACGGTAGACGGTCGTGGGCGATTTATGGAGTACTCTCTGCACCTTGGGTCGTGCGGTGACAAAAATGTGTGGCATATGTCGAGCTTGGGGCGACGTGTCCAAGCTATTATGCATCTCATCGGTGATGCTGGATACACCCTGGCCACATACATGATGATACCCTACCCGATATACACTGGGATGCCCGGAAGTGAATCACGATACAATTATCTTCCGTCTCGTTCACCGATCGTCGTCAAGACGGCCTTCTGCGGCCTGAAAGGCAGGTGGCGTGTCCTGAAGCGCACCTTAAATATGAAAACTCCAAGAAGTTGTGGTCGAACTATCGTTACCTCCATGGTGTTGCACAACCTCACGATCGATGCCGGCGATGACCTACGAATTACGGACCGAATTGACCCATATTTGGGACTTCATGTGCACGAAGAGACTTGGTCAGTGCAGCTGTCGAACCGTGAAACTGCCCTGCACAAGCGAAATGCAATTAAACAATATATTGTATCCTTGTACTTGTGAGTTCATAAAACTATTAATATCGAAGTACTAAGTAGTATTTGTGAAAGCGTTAATGGTAGTTGACATGTTCATATGTGAAGTTACATTAATTTAGTACAAAAGTAGTAGAATCACTTCCAGATTTTTTTACTTGCTTATCAACTTTGCAAGAGACTCAAATAGGACTTTGTTGAGTGCTGCCTGTTCCTTTTGTGCTGCCGCTTGCAACTGCAACATAATGCCAATTTTGTCTACAAGTGGAGACAAATCCACAACCGGTGCAAGTGGGGGTGGCGTCTTCGAATTGGCCATCGTAACCAGAGCGTCTGCCATTCTGAAAAGCCCCGCTTCCAACGAATCACCCAACGACTTCTTCGCTCCGACTACCCGAGGAATCATTGGAGAGTGCGCGGCCGGGCGAATGTTGGCAGCAGTGCTTGGGGGACTACTAGTGCCGTCGTCGGAGTCGCCCAGGGTCTCGTCAAAATTGTCCTGAATGGAGTCCATAATTGGCGACGAGTTCATTCCAGAGCATTCCTACAAAACTATAATAAAGTAAAAGTTGCATATAAATAAAATCATACAAGGAACCTGAAAATATTCCACAAGTATCTGCCAGTGGTTTAGTCGATTGATTCCTCCACGTTGCCAGTCTCCTCGGTAGCTTGGCACAGAGAACGATACTCTGTTTTCAACGCGGCGAATCGATTCGTCAATTGCTTGACATGTCAATTAACACCTGCCCTAATGTTGAAGCGTGCGGTTACAAAAGCCCACCATGCAGCCTTTTGCTTTGTCGTCTTGCATGCGTTGAACTTGCGCTTCGCTGTCTCGCTGAACCTGATCGCCATGAGATCTACAATCATCTCACTGGTCCATGTGGCTCTCTTCTTGTCCACCGGAGATGACTTGATCGTCGGTTTGGATGTCCTTGGCTTCTTCGCTGTCGGGCCGTATTCGGCAGCCACTTCATGTTGCCCAAGCTCCGTCATTGTGAGTGATTGGCCATGAAATTGGCCCTTACCACCGCTACTATCCGGACACATTACTCAGACCAGTTATTATTTTTACCGGATTACTTCAACCAGCACCAACTTTTTCTCACCCAAAAAGTCGTCGAAAAACAATGAGGTAGATTTTACTTCAACCAGGCCCTTAGGTTCCAAGAATGGAACGAAAGTAGGATATGAAGTAAGCCGTCTGCGATACGCAGCGGCGGCGTCAACAGAGTTGACCGCGGGAAATTCGGACTCCCAAAAGGCAACGTCCCGAGAGTAGATGAGTACATGATAATGCAAGTTCAAAAGAGTATGACCCTTGCGGTTGTGTGGGAGAGCCACGAACATTGTTTGACGGCACTGGGATCGAGCTTGGAAATTTGCGCGGCACGTTGAAGATGCAGAAACGCTGTGCAACCTAAGGTTTGATGTGACCCAACGAGGGGTGTCGTTTGAATACGACGTGATAGGGCGAGACACCCTTGTTCGAGGACTGCGGAGAGATATTAATAAGCCATGAGGCATAATCGAGGGCATGAGCCCATAGGAACTTGGGCAGAGCCCCTTCGATGAACATACAGTAGCTGTAGTTCGCATCTTTTGAACAATAATGCCGATACGGCGTTTTGTTGAGGCGAGCAGGCGTTGGAAAACGCCACCCGAGTGTTGTACTTCGACCAGATGCGGCGGTCGGGCTTCTCGAACTCTTTGGCGTTGTCACTTTGGAGAGTGCCAATGTCCGTGGGGTGCGTGTGACGCAACTCGCCAACGTCATGCTTAAAAAGAGACATTGCATCCGTCTAAATAGTTCATACGTCTCATAGAGATCTTTGCGATAACGCCCACATAAAGCGGGAGTAATCGTCAATGAAGACTACGAAGTACGCAGAGCCACCCGCCGACAGAATCAGACTGGATCCCCAGATCACCGTGTGGACAAGGGCAGGGTAGGAAGTAGCGCGGAAGACCAATGAGGAGTCAAAAGGACGACGCTTGGACTTGGCGTAAGCACAAGTCTCACATAAGTGACCACGAAGGTGCTTGGCCTTGAAGAGCATAAGCTTGGGGTTTGTCTTTGTCATTTGTTCGAAGGCCCATCAATGCCAGGATGAACGAGACGGCGATGCCAAAGGCGCGCAAGAACAAGTTGCGGAGAGTTTAGAGTCAGCTACGAGGCTGGTGTAGTGTCATCGACACGGGTAAGAGTTGGTATGCCAAGTATAGCATGAGCAACACTCAAGTAGACAAAATCTGTAGTTAGAGGAGGCGGTGGAGTTGACTTGGGGACCATAGATGGTCGATGGGTGATAGGCGCATAGTACAACACCGACGAGTAAGCAAGCACTTGAAATTGATCGTTTAAATGTGGAGTCCGAAGTCGAGACGCAATGTGTATGGACGGATGTCATCGACTTGGTCACGGGACGACATGTCCACTAGCATCGAGATGGCGCCATAATCGACGACTGGGAGTGTGGTGCCGTTCCCGACTGTCAAAGACAGCGCACATGGAACGTAGCGCAAGAAATAATATCGGTTGGGGGTGCACGAGGTGGATGCCCCGGAATCAACGATCCAATGTTCACGCAGAGCGGGGAAGTTGGTAGGACCATAGGTCACCGCCTTGGGTAGGGGAGGGGAACCGACATCATGCTCGCAGTAGCGGAGATCCGCGTGTAGGGCAAAAAAGCCATTGCCCTTGATGACTTGGAAGGGTGGATGGGGACGGATACCGTCGACACATTGGGGTGGTAGCTGCAGAACAACTTTGATCGGCCTTCTTGACGCGGCGATGAGAACATCACTGCGAGTGACCGAGAAGTCACTTGTGGGAACAGTGGAAGATCCACTTTGGTTGGGTTGGCTGGGATGTGAAATAATGGTCGCGGTGGGTAGAGTGGTAGGCGATCGGTGACGAGAACCTCGTTGGATGGGACTTCAGCGACGTCGAGATCTCCTGCATCAGCGCGAGACCCGTAGTTGGCTGGCAACGTGGCCGGCTCAACGGTAACTGGCGCGAGTGGCATAGCCGAAGGAGGCGCAGCAGACGCGTAGTTGGTTGGCAACGAGTCCGGCTCGACAGTAACTGGTGCATGTGGCAGAGCCGAGGGAGGCTTAGGAGAAACGAACGACTAGTCGAAGGTAGTGAAGGGCGCGGCGGCGATGCAAACACATCAATGAGTGGGGCAGAGCCCGTAGTAAAAAAAATGGGTAGTACGGAAAGTGGATGCGGCTTTTCGAGGATGCGGTTGAGGGAGGATGTATGATGGTATGATGGTGTACTTCGCAGCAGCTGGAGGATGACCGTAGCCAAGGTCACGGGTGACGGCATCATAAGCAGTACTGCCGGCGTTACAGTCATAATGACCAGAGCAACGGTCACCACGACCAGCATGATTGCCAACGCCATAGTGGAAGCAGGACTTGCTGATCGCCTGGGGCTGCGGTGCGGGGGTCTCAACGACATGCGTAATGGCCGTGTACTGAGTGCGGGCTTGGGTAGTGGCGGCAGAGCCGATGTGACCCAAAGCAGAAGCTCGTTGAGCAAGACTTTTGAGGACGTTGCGGAGGGCAGACCAAACATCGTTAACAACGATCGGCGCCCCGGCAGCTCGGGCAGTCGAAACGTAATTCTTCATGGCTTCCCAGAGGTCCTTGTCCGCAATAAATGCGTCAGATTTGGCACACAGAGTGTGATAGGTCGTAATGTAGGTGTCGTAGTCGATAGACGAGATTGCAGACGCATCCAAAGGATGGTGGGCGGCGTCATAGACGCACGATAACGCTTCACGAGGTCGTTGCGTTCAACGGCGAGGGTGTCGATACAACTGTCGTCGGTGAACTTGAGATTCCGTAGGTGATTAGCAATCACGGTGGGGTTGTTACACATGGCATTCGACTCGAAACGTGTTTTGAGCTGCTCAAAGGGCGCGGATGTAGGGACACGTAATAGTGTTCTAGAGATGCTGGAGGATGGTCGAGTTACCGGACACCAAAAAGGTGTGCACTGAGCGGCAAGACCTTGGCCGACTCATGCTTGATCGCTTTGGCCATGATGGCTGACGTGTGCACTTGATCTCTGCCAGTCGCGCCGAACGATCTGTCTCCGAGGAGTGGCCTACATAATACAAATCAGGGTTATCGACCTCGTCAATTTCGAGATGATCTTGAGCGCCTCGCAACGGATCCCAAAGGGAACGTGGTTTGGCTCGGTGAAGTATCCCACGATATCGCGGGTGGTACAAGAAGTCCGTCATCCAGATGGCGTTGGCCAGAGGCCAAGACTCATCGAACGGGGTGCCCACGAAGAACAGCGCAGAGGTAGGTAAAATGGAGGCTAATAACCTGTGAAGAGGACGAGGAAAGAATAGCACCATTGAGGAAGGGGGCGAGAGCACGAAGAACACTTGCATGGTCGGGGGCAAAACTAAAAATCTGGCTATAACGCTCCGGATACTATCCGGATGTATGAACCCGGCGAAGAAGGCCAAAGCAGACAGGCCAAAGTGCCCCTCTTGACATTTAAAAAAGGTTTGGAAGATGGTGTGTAAGGTCGTCATAAACTACGCACAACACAAGCCACCATGATGGCAAACGTGGGCCACGTCCATAAAGGATAAGTAGGGGGCGAAGGACACACCACGCGCCACCAAAATTATGTATAAAGGAGGAAGAACTGACGCAGAGGCGTTTGTGGAGGTCAGTCCAACGAACAGGAGGCGTGTAAAAGGGCTCATAACCTAATCAAAGGTGGAATTGTGAGTGCAACAATTCCACGTTTGATTACGCAATCATTTCGTTTGTTCATATTTTGTCATAACGTTAATGATAACTATTAATAATAGTTTGTACTTCTATTGTGCTTTTCACCATTTTTGGCTAGTCCAGGTCTAAAACCATGCTTTAATAAAAACTCATCCTAAAATTACGGCACTCGCCGTGATTTTACGGATGCAAGATGAAGTATTTTTACTGTTCGCGTTGAATTATAAGGTGACCGCATTGGAATTGGATCACAGTGGTACAACAACCACATACAAATTTTCATATAAAATGGAGGTGAGCCAAAACGTGGGTGTTATAAAAATTTCGACAGATTTATTAAAGGTGGTGTCGTCGAATATGACGAATGAATGCCTTTTCGCTATTTTGTCGATCACTTATTGGCTAACAGTAAAATGCAATTGACTGAATCCCTTTGATATTTTTTTGGCCAAGTATAAAAATATGCAAGTACCACTGTTATCCAATTCCAATGCGGTTACCGGTACCTGTATTCGTGATTCTTTGTTCCGGAATACTTGAGTGAATCGTTTTGGAGGTTTCATTGTATTGCAAATTGTATTGAATATGCATCGATTTTCGAGGTTGCATTGTATTTTTATTCAAAACAGTCATTCTACGACGAACAACTGCATGACATGTTACTATTATTTAGAAGTCGCCTAGAGTTCATCTTGCAAGTTTGACAGCTCATCAACATTAACGGCCTCTGTGTCACCGTGTGAACTGTTGAGCACTTCAGCCATGTCATCGATGACTGCCTCGTCAATCAAGCGGTTCTCGAGTGCTGTCAGGGCCGCCACTACGTCTTCATCGCATGATGGGCGCAGCTCACGCGTTCCAGTTCTTTCTTGAATGTCCTTCTTCATGTGTGGCAGTTTGTAATCATTGTCGCCTTGAATCTTCATCGACTCTTCCATAACCATTTGCAATGTCATGAAAGTCTTGTCCAGAACACGCCAGTGCAGCTTGTCAAACGCATCTTGTAAGCTCACAAGGTCGTCCATCTTGCGCGCCGCCGTTTGATGCTGAAGGCTTTGTATCGCGTTGAAGAAGCCCAAGTCCAAGACATTGAAGTCCGGACTTATAGCTGGTTGCGCTGTCAACTGAATATTCCAGACGTTCTTGGCTCCAGCTTCCTTGACTTCGCGGTCATCCACGCCAACATGCGGATTGGCATTGTCTTGCTGAACGTACACCACGTCACGACGCTTCGACGTCCACTTGGCTTGAATCGATGGGATAACCTTCTCAACCAGGAACTGACGGTACACTGGCTTTGTCATGCTCATAGGCGCAGTCACAGGCGTGCCTTTGTCCCGGTTCTTGCTTCGACGTTGAGCCAACTTGGTCTCGACGAAAGGCCAGAGGCCGACTTTTCCGTCCCACATTGTTTGGCGTTGGAAGTCATACCTTGGTCGAGCGACGGCACACAAGAACATGACCTTGGTGATGTGACGCTTGGACTGTCACTTACGCGTAGGAACGGGTTAATCATGCTACAAGTAAGAGCGTCGATTTACCTTTGTGATGTAAACCCACTTCTCATCGATATGAACTTGGTCCAGCATGTCGTGCCATCTCAGTCCATCGCCAGTGCCAGCTCGAAGGAATGATTTCACAAAACGGAAACGATCCTCCACGTGCCTGGGCGTGAGCATTGGTTTGAGGCGACTTGTTCGACGAGCCAGATGCTTGGACTGCAGCAGCCTCCACAGCAACGTCTTCAGTATGCCGATCGAAGATGCCAATGACCTGAAGGTTGAGCGTTGTACAGGCGGTACGCTTCTAATGGTCTCACGCACATCTGGGCCCGTGTACTTGCGCGGGGCTCCGCACCGCAACTCGGTCACTACAGCCAATAAAATTATCCTGAAAATACACCCATGTATAGCATTTAATTGGCTTTCAAGTGTGCCTGTTTAGGCCTCTTTCATGCATTTTTCACTTGAAATTGGATTTCTGAACAAACATCACTCAAGTATTCAGGAACAGAGGAAGTATTAATACTACCTCCAGACGAAAATAGATCTAACATTTGACAAAAATTGATGAAATTTCTGCAATTTCTCAAATGTTAAAAATCTGAAACTAGATGTGCGAAGAGCTCAATCTACTGCATCCAATAGGCTAGAATATGCAAAAAAAAGAGTTGAATCCAAACGAACAAGGTTATTGAAAAAAACATTGCTCAAAGCAAGATAAAAAGAACGGATAAAGAAAAAATTATCCGAAAAACAGAATGTTGGTGTCTTTTGAGCGGCAAATCACGGCGCGCATCGCTGATTTCGAATGAAAGAGCTTACCTCCGATCAACGCCGCGCTGTCGTCGACCACCTGCTACTTCGTGTAGTACAGGCTTCATGCAAGCTTCGCCATGGCGCCATAAAGGTGGGGGCCCAGATCTTTGGTCGCACCAGACAGACCATTGCCGAGATCTGGAAGCGTGCCAACGTTTCCATCAGTGTAGACAGCCAATCTGCGCAACAGATTATCTGCCACGACATCGCTTCTCAAAAGAAGGGACACGTTGGTCGTAAACTGAAGTACACGGACCTTCCGGCTGGAATCCGCGCGATACCACCACAACGGCGGACGACTCTCCAGCCTCCGCGAGGTCATCATGGGCGGCGGCGGCAACTCCTACAAAGTGCCCCACATGAAGAAGGAGGCACTCAAGAAGTCAGGTCGCCTACCTGAGACCATCCACTGCGGCCGCGATGTGTTCGACACGGGGTGTGCTTTGCTAAACGAGCAAGACCTTGAGAAGGTCATGCAGGACCTTGCGGTCCAAACGGCTGTCGATTTGGAGATGAGCGACATCTGCCATGGAATCGATTGGGATCAACGACCAGGAAGACGAAGAAGGAGTGTAGGCTTGATTGCAAAAATCAAATGAATATGAGTTTGAGTATACCAGTCCAATAATTAAATAAAAATTGTTATTTAATTATCTAGGCTTTAGTAAATTTCAGGACATTTAATTATTATATTTCTTGGGGATGTAAGATGTCAGGTCTATTTCCGTCCTTCCACGTTTTTCAAAAGTAAGGTCTATTCCCGTCTGGAGGTAGTACGTAGTACTACGTAGTGTGTATTAGAGCATCTCCACCGCGCCCAGTAAATTGGCCAATCAGTAAATCTGTGTGCTGATTTACAGAAAAATTACTTAAATATTTTCGCACCGCACCAGTATCCGGGTCAGTACTTTGCTGACGTGTTAATGGAATTCGCAAGGTGAGCCACCTTGCTCCTTTTTAATATCCAATCAGAGTCCATCACACCTTGCTTCTTACTACGTAGTACACACGATTGGCTATAACACTGACATAAGAGGTTACAATTTTGAACTTTGAATTTTGTAGAGCTTTGTGTGATGCTGCTCCAAAGAATTGTGCACTGATGAGAGCACTCCGCTTATGTCCAATGTGGTTCTCCCCTTACAGCTAACATTATGTTGTGCCTCAGTTGGGTCGCAATGTCGTGGTGGCTCTGGTGGGCCAACGCGGTGGCGCAAGAGGTCTTGGTAGCACCCATCGCAAATGCAAAGTGCTAAAGCCGCCACTTCAGCACTTGCGATGGGTGCCACCAAGACATCTTTCCCCACCACCCGCGCAACCACGTGATCACACCGGCAAGGAGGTGTACGGCACCGACACGGGCTAGATGGTGGAATGAGGGATGGCCAATTTCATTGGGTTAGTAGGCAAGTGGTGAAACGAGACCTGTTAGAATTGACCGAGTCCTGAATACCACATCACATGATCTTGCTCTCATACACAGCCTACACAATTATCTCAAGGCTCCTTGCATCAACCGCCATCACAGGAGTAGAATATATCGCAACACGGCGTGATGA